GAGCACAGAGATATATCATGCTATACACTCATTTGCATAGCGGAACGAATCTCACGCGCGGCGACATTTTTCATATGAGATTGAGAAGTTCCGATCGAAGCACTTGATCGTATAGTGACAGAAGAGCGGGAGGGACTAAGTGATTTTCTGACGAGTAAATTCCGACTCGTGCTGAGTTTCCGGATGCCAATACACGGAATTTCTGTCGACACCCAGCACCTCATCAACTCAGATCCCATCAGAGAGCGACAACGGGATGGATCCGGGCCGCTCCTCGGAAGTGTTTACTCTCGACAACCAGCAGGAAGACCTGATTGGAAGACCGTCCGATCTTCGAGTCACCGAAGCGAGCAAGAGCAGAGCCATGCAGCGTGCTAAACACTCGTCTCGGCGCCACAGAATATTCAGATGCTTATCGGCAGCGTCGGTTCTCTGATACTCGGTCAAGTTTGGCATTTCAGTGAATGTAACAGAGCAAGGCTCGAACAAGGAGGCATTTCAAGGCAGGCCTTCATTCCTCCGACCGCAGGTATACAGACGTACACGGAACTAGTGCACCTCAAGCCAAATAATAACGACGACAACGACCGCTGCTTCCACCCATTCGCTCACCCGACAGCGACTTCATTTTGGACCCCGCCACCGAATACTCTACGCGTACGACGCAATTTATAAATATTTCGAGAATAACTCGCGTCGCGGAATGCTTGAGCAGGGGATATTCAACAGCGCTTGTTTCTCGGACATTTCTCTCTGGAACGACTCCTGGCGTCCAAAACTTCATTCGAATTATCCAAAGATGAGGCTCCTTGAAGTCGACGTCCCTTGTCAGTCCCGAATCAGGCCCGATGATCCATCAGCTGATGCCTTCGGTCTCAGCAGGCATAGCATGCACAGTATAAAATGAAGTGTCTCGAGGGATCGGCCGATGGCGAGGAAGAGCTATGCCAACAAATTTGATGGATGTGGGATGTGGTTCACGATGTCGAACGAACTTAATTGGAAAGAGTTGACGTTAGTAGATTTCACCTGCCGGCAGAATAAATCGACTAGGACCAGGCGTTGGAAACCCGGAATGCTACGGTATCGGCACACCGCCGCATCGGAGAACCGGGCAGCCAGCGAGCAGAGAAGCGAGACCTTCCACAATTTGCATCGGTGTATCCCAAATCGGACTGCGCGGCAGGTAAATGACGGATAATGTTGACAAAGTACTGCCCTGAGTGTCGTCCTCGCTTGAGCCGAACATCCTTCGCTCCTCCACCGTCACGGTCGCTATACGCCAATGGATTCACGGCTCTGAACTCGAGTTGGAGCTTTCAGGGTAGAAACGAGTTTCCGAAATACCAAGTTCATCGAAAGGTCAAACGAACGGATTCCACTCCGGGCGCTCATCGTACAAAAACAGTTGATGGCTGCGCGGCGGAGCGCTTGTCGTAAAGCTATATTTATGGACCTGCCGAAATCATTAATATCGAAAACCAGAATTCGGATTTGATGGATCGACGGATAGTTTTTTTCAGGATCCACATCGATTGACTCAATCCGACTTCATGGGACCGTTGAGTACACTCATACAGTCCAAGACGGAAGTAAGTCAGACGGATTGCCAATTCTACAGAAAACGGCGATACCATGCAAAGACGCGCATTGCTTCTTCGAAGGTTGATAGCGTCAAAAAAGCATCCACGATTCTCAGGTCAGCGATTCGGCCGCTTTCATCAAGAGAAATGTTTAGGCACAATCGTGAACGGGTTCCGTACAGTCAATGTCTGAATGACACTCGAGCGGATCCAATATTATCAGAGATTCCCAACGCGGCTCGGCGCTCGAGCGGATTTTTTTCAAATCAAAACTCAGAAACCACACAGAGATTCGTAGTAAGGACAACTAGCGTTATTGCTGTCGGTCAAGTTATTTCCAGGCATCGGAAGCCTTACCCTTCAGCAAAGATGTCCATTCATGAAGAGGTGTTCTGTTCCGATTGAGGGTCAGCAAGAGGCGAGACTCGATGAAATTTGAAAACGAGGCAGACAGGCGAACGTTTCTTGGTAGAACTTCAATACTCTTAAACATACGAGTCTGGCAGCTGCTCGTTTGAAAGAGAGACGTCCTCACCCGCAAGCCGAAGAGAACTAGCGGCGTGAAAATTCTTGCACCTCGTATGCGTTTCTCTTCAACACGAAGTCCGACTGTGCTCGATATCATTACTCGAGACATCAGCTTCGGAGACTCCCGCACTCTGATTCCCCTTCGGCAAAGGGCCCTGCGGACCCGAGTCGTTGTGCCCAAGTTTTGCAAGTGACGAGAGGACTTTTCGAGAGCGAGCGTCTCGGTATTCTCGGAGACGCTTCAGAAACTCGGCGACACTCACCTCGGTCAGCTGGGGTGCTGCTGCTTCTAAGCGTTTGCGGCGAAGCGGTTCGATGCACGAATACCTCACGCAAGATCTATGTCTTGGAAACTGGACAAAAAAAGCCTCGAGATGGTCGAAATCCGTCGTTTACTCCACAGCCTCTTGTCGATGTTCACAATAGCGTACCACAAGCAGCAACCAACGATCGATGGGTAGAAGTCAACGTGCGCCAGGCTCGAAACTACGCCAGGAGCGGTGAGGCGGCTGCGCGCTCTGGGGAAGGGGCCAGCTTCCACAACAATTCGCTGCGAACTAGATCTTCAGAGAATCATCATCGCTCTTTATATTGATACATGACTTCGATTAAGCGTGGACTCTGGCTAGAAGGTCCGATTGAACAGATGATAATTCATTGCGTGAGGAGTCTGCTATTCTCGGAGAGGGGCGTCTTGAGTCGATACCAGCATTTCGGATGTCCTCGAGGGCCGTTCGAAATTTGGCGGGTCGTTTTATTTATTTTACTTCCAGCTGGAGTATACCGACCGGCTGGCAGAGCCAACGAAGGTCTGACGAAAGGGAGAGGGTCCGCAATCGGCCACAAAAATGCAGATGTGGGAACTCCATTCCGAGAGAGTATTCCACTGCGAGCGACGATCGTCTCGAGCTATAAGATGGAGACTTCCCAAACGAATTTCTCTTCGCCGCGGCGTTCAGCGCGCGACATTTTTCATTCTCACCGTCTCCCATCGAGAGACATCTACCACTGCTCATGCGTCTTTCCGTCTGACTGAGTCTTCTTCGCTTTATCACTCAATTCAGCCTGAAAGATCATTCGGATACCCTCCGAGGTTCACTAGCGGGAATCAGGGATGGGAATCTCATAGTGATTTTCGCGGATTTCCGAGCCAAACACTGTGCGGAAAGAAACTCGCGAGAGAGAGAGACGGGGAGTTTCTTCTCTTTCGGTATCGCCGCACAATTATATTCGTCCTGCCTTTTTTTAGTTCAAAGCGGACGATTCTGCATAGAGGCGCCTGAGGATGACAATCGCCCCCATGGGGCTCTCGCACGTACTTGTCATTGGGTCCCGATAATCAGGAATGTGCTGTGGTAGAAGAACATGGTGATGATGTCGACACGACTCGTTCTCAAGAATGGATATATGTCGTCGTATAAGCTTGTCCGCTCGCGCCCTCTATTTGCTGCGATCCGGTGGCGAGCGATCGCTTGCTCACCTCACGATCTACTGAGGGAGCACCCACCGAAGACTTCTCCTCTGAGGTCGATATGCAGATACGATCGATTCGGCACGAAGTAAACCGTCGTCTCGCCCCCCCCCCGCCCTTCCCCGGGAGAAGTTGGGGTTCACACCGATTATTACTATCGCTCGATCATAGAAGCTGCATGTCTTCTTTGATTCTCAATTAGCGATTCTAACAAATCGCGCATGAGTGTCCCCATACTCATCATTCGCTCGAATCTTCTTTCGGTGGCTTTCTATCTAGCCGCGAGCGCAGCGCGGATGGAGAACGTAAGCAGCGCCGTCTGCACGCTCAGCGCGGAGGAATTTCGTATTTTTATACAATGAGATCGCTGCGCAAACGCTCAGGTATCTCCTCCTTCGTTGGGTTTACAGGGGGAAGATTAGAGGGAACTACTTTTTCTCGAATATGAAGAATTCCACCACATCGGGCTCCGTCGTCGATAATCTGATGGTTGATCTTCGCCCGCCACTCGCTGACAGAACGGAGCTTGAGCATTCTGTGAAGAAAAAGCTCGAATCCCTCCCGCGTCTCCCGCCACCCATGTCTGCCCTCATTCGTTCCGGCCTTGATCGGAGCTTTATGTTTGAGCAGCTATTCTGGAATACAACATCGAAAGTCTTTGTTTCCGAATCGTTTCGGAAGCTCCTCGGAGGAAATTCGCAACGGCGCCGGCGGACTTCCGCGACCTAGCATTCTCATGCAGGAGGAAGGAATCCAGGCGTCTGTGGGTTGAAATAGCGGGGAAACAAGAAAAGGTCCGGAAAATTCATGCTTCGGTACCCTCCTGCAGCGCATCAGAGAGCCCATGAGTCCAGAGTAGATGATCCCGCCGATCTCTCTCTTTTTATCACACCCACGGAGAGTGCCAATCCGTCAAGGCTCGAGAGCTCCACGGTCGAGCGAATCGAGATGCATGTCAGACAGCGTTGGGAATTTCGTCGCCGGATTTCAGAACCTAGGTTTCCAGCCATCTATCTCCGATAGGGACCCGGTCTGTAAGAGAGCAGAAAGTGAGAGTGAGATTCCTTTGAGTTTCGTTTCGGAGAGCTACCTAGGACACCAAGCGTTTCTGGTCTTATTTTTTGGTGGCTCCCCGTTATTCCCAACAGACATCTGCTATATTGAAGCTTTCCAGTCGGGACTCGGGACTGACTTTAAAGTAAGGAGGCAATGCTGCTATATCCATATCTGTGCCCATGACCCGGAATCATTCCTCATCTTTATTCAGAGGGCATCCAAAACCACACCAACGCGCCATGATAACTCGGCTATTCCTGTCCACGTGTGACCCTTGCAAGTTTTCATGAAAGAACGAGATTACAGGGTACCTCCCTGAGCCCCGAAGCACGATGCGCGGTTCCTCGAGACAGGCGGTGGAGGCAGCCTCGTAGCGTTGGTGTCTACCGGATCAGCTCGTCGTCGAAGTATCGCAAGGTCTCCGTGCGAGTTTCCGCGGTGAAAAACTGAACATGAACTCCGGACGTCAACTGTTCAGCGTGAGCCGGAATGTTCTGCACCAGAATGTGATAAGGTACTGCAAATCCACTTGGTCTACGGAAGTTCGATATAGTAGGCATTGTCTTTCGAGGGTTGCCCTTCGGTTTCCACGGGATCAGCTGTGTGTCTGTCCTTTGCCGACAGGAAGAGGAAACGGCTCCAGGTTCGACCGACGGGGAAGTGGCTAACGATTCCCTTTTTGCACCCCACGTAGGCGGAACAAGGGAGGCAGCGGGGAGGAGATAAGGAAAGGCCTAGAGAAAATAACCTCTCTCGAGGCCCCCAATAAGGTGAGCTATCTGGAACCTGGAGTCTGCGTATCCTTCCGTGAATCGTTCGCATGGAACGGTGTGCCGAGGACTTTCCCCGCCTCACCGAGGACGTTCGGAACCTGAACGCCCCGCGAGGCCTCGAAAGCGCGCTCTCGGCATGACGTATCCGAGTGCTCACTCAGCGTGAGCTTCTCGACACTTTCCAGGACGGAATCCGCGTTGCGAGAGGCATCCTCGGGATTGTCATGGGATACTTGGTCCTCCGCACCGCATGGCTGAATTATCATGTCTTTCCCCTGACCGAAGACCCCGACGATGGCTAGGCGTTCCTGTCTGCAACGAAAGGGCCGGAGTATGTGAAGATTCGACCGCCTGGGAGAAAATGGCGAATCGAGAAGAATAAAATAGTTACTGTACAGGTCAGCTTTGATCCTTTGATCGATGCATTGCGCAAGCTATTGAGAGAATCGACCCTTCCTGAATCCACAGTCGCTCCATTTCTTCGTTTGTTCCCCTCATTCCCAGTGGCATCGAGCACATTCATGCGATAATAGTATTTAAACTGATTTAAATTTAAAAAAAAAGTATTTAAAAATAACTGGAGCGTCGCGCTCGTGTCGAGCAGTGGCGGGTGGTCGAGTAGACCGAATTCCCGAGGAACCGATCGAGGCTGGCTCGGAATCTGAACTGACTATGATTGCAGGGAGCAGACGGGTTCATTTATTCTCAGATCTTCGAGAATGTTTGAGAACCCCCTTCAGGGGAGGTCCGCGCGGATTTTCGTGTTTTCGAATACAATAATTTCCGAGGAAAAACATCCAATCGTCAAAATCTTCTCCGGACGAAGATAGAGGATTGCTCCTTAGTTGGACCCGCAAATTTCGTGGATTCCAAAGCCGCCGACTGCTCTTCAGCATACCCTAGAAATCGAATCCGTGGGCCACCAGCCTTGAAACGGGAAGTGATCGAGCAGGGATGCGGCCTCCATTGACCGAAAGTCGAGCCAGGCTCCGGAACGAAGCTCAAGCAGCATCCTCATACTACGGCGGGATTCACCGGTATTCATGTGTTACCTCAGCAACAATCCCCGATTCGTCAAAAAAAGTCTCATAGGTCTCTGATGATGGAGATGTCGAGTATTCCGAGTATGAGCCACCAGCTGAGAATGATCCATACGGAATGGAGGGTTTCCCAGTAGTGCTCAATCAGAGAAATCCGACAGGCGGACCTTTTCCGCAGAGATGACTTCTTCGTAGCCGAATCCTCGCCATCGGATACAGAGATGAGGAACAGTTCGGATTTCGATCATGCTCAGTGATCGAGGTCCTGACTCTGAGTCTCTGGTGCCGGATTCCGGAGTCGCACTCCCATAACGCATCGTCCGGGAATGTCGTAGAGGATCCGGAGCTCCGAGACGGCTTTCTTCGAACTGCGCTCAGCAACGCCCGTTGAGAGCTGTCGTTGACCAACCCAACTCAAAGGCTTTCTTGAGGCCGTGGACGTACAGTATCACTCTGAGATCACCCATAGCTACTGGACGCTTAATTTCTGCGAGCACTGGAGGACTGCTCTCGAACGTGCGTCCCCCGACACCTACGGGAAACCCAGCGAAATGCTCCTTAATAAAGTATCTAGAACTTGACTCTCACTTCTCGCGAGGACGCAGATGTCCGCTGCGAGGACATTCATTTCAAAATTTCCCGCGATATAGTGGTAGCGGGAGCTGTGGTTGCTACTTACCGTGTCCTGTAGTGATCTTCGCAAGGACTCAAGAGAATACAAGTGCATTATTCTGCGACATGAACGCTGCACGGAGACTCCTCCGCCTCAGGGCTCCCGCCGTCCCAAAGCCGGCTTCTAGGTGAGTAGATGAGGAACGAGGACTCCTTGCGGTCGTGTTGTCCCCTCATTCTACTAGTTGGAGTGCAGTTCGCAGCATATCCAGGACCAAGCCTGGAGCATTCCCGAGCTGAGACTTCTGAACGGGTATACGCTTTCAGGCAGTACGTGTCCCTGGAGCGGATCAAGCAGTTGCAGGCAGAGTTCCAGAAGGACGATGGCCTACCGATTCACTTGAAGCGTGGAAAACGTGATCTGTATATGTGGAGATTCATCTTCGGCGCTACCATGATTGCGACTGCGAATTCCGTTCGCAATCTGTATTTGTTGGTGAATAAGAAAATCTAAATGGTAGCGACAAGAAGAATCCGCGAAATCTAGTGAATAAATACTTTCTCTGAACGTAAGTTGATGTCTTTTCGTTTCCTGATCCTACCTACAGCTCTCGGATCTTGAAGAAGCTTCTGATCGCCGAGGGTCTCAGCGATGCAGTGAGAGATCGGAGCTGGCCATTTGGCATAGGAACTCAAATCCGAGTGTAGATCCTCTCACATCAGAGAGCGCACATCTTATCGGAGCTCAGCAATCCTTCGATTCCAACCAGCCAGTCATGTTTCGTGCGTTTTTGTCCGCTGCTCCTAATCGACATATGTCAGGAATCTTCCGTTTTCGTCACTTCGGAGTTCGTTAAGCTCCTAATTAAAACATTCGTTCATCGCCCCCCGCTCGGAAATCGTTAAGGATTTCTACCTGAGCTGAAGATCCGCCTCGAATCGTTCCGGAGGGGGTCACCTGCTCCTCTCAAGCTCAAGTTCCTCGAAGGCTTTCAGTCTCCAATCGGTTGCGACGATTGTTCTTCGATTCTCCCGCACTCACAATCAGATGTCAGAAACTCGGTATGGAAATCGTCGTCATTGGTCAAGCGGGAACGAACTCCTTGAGGGCGTTCAGCTTGAGCTGCGAGTGGCGTTTCGGACTGACCGAGAATGATGTCATCCTCAGTGGATCGCTGGGTCCGCTTCTAAATCGGTTTGCTTCCTCTTTCCCCAGAGCAGCGCTTCAAATCGATGGAGACGACACCTTAAGAATCCATTGAGAGCCATCCCGAGGTTCACTTTATTGGAACGAACGCAGCTCTTACAGAGCAAGCGACTGAATTCGCCTAAAAACTTTTCACAGCAGCCTCAAGACCGGAAGCGTCCCAAGCATTCGATGGCGAGGGAATGAGATACCATCGTCCATTCTAATCTCGGTAAAGCTCTGGCTGGATTCTTTGGCTGGTCGCAGTCAAGATGTGGAGTCTTGGATCCGCCCTGGTGTTTTTGAGCGTATTCCCTCATTGCGTGAGTTACTCAGAGCTTTTACTCGTTGGCCATGCTCTCTATGTCCGGAGGATAACTATCAAAAAAACTTTTTCGGGCTGATCCACACAGCCAAGGTTTAACGTCCCGGGTACTGTTATTCACATTGCTTCCGAGGACGGATCCATAGAGCAGATGTACCCAGGAGGATCAAGGGTAGTTATCCTTAATAGTTCAATAGTTATCCTCACCGACGGGTGAGGATAACTATCAAAGGAACGCGAACTCGCCCGTCGGAGCTTGACGTGCGCAGACAAAATAGCCGGGCAGAGCGGCGAACGCGCTGTTCGAACTCGAATTCCAGGGAGATCTTTATGACTGCTCGTCTGCGTCTCTGAACATATGATCTCTCACTAAGTCTATCTGATCTCTCACTATCATCTCTCGAGTGAACCCTCCTATAGCATGAGACTTCCCGGGAAAAAAGAAAACATAAGATTGACTTCATACCTGCACAGCGGGGTCCCCTCGGTAACATGAGCGATCGACCTCTCTATCTCGGAGACTTCTCCGTGGTTATGCGATAGATAGGTTTTCCGAATCTTTTGTAACCTTGCAGATGACCCTCGACGTATTCGTTTCCTTCAAACGTGGCTCTGATGGAAGAGGAGTTCTGATCAACGTCGAACCTGAGCGTCAGGAATTCTTGGGAACACTCTGCGGCGTGTACGACTCTTATAGAGTTTGTTCGAACGAGAGCTTCAGGGGGAAATTGGAGTTTTCGAGTTTAAATCCTTACACTGACTACAATTTGACTCTCTCGAACAACTCAACCCATGAGTCCATCGCTTTCCGAACCGATTTGGGAGGTAAACTATCGCCGGCCCTCCAAAGTGTTCATCTATAATGGACGAACGTACTCGATAAACTCGTGATGGCGCAATCATTGTTCCGGAAGACTGATTGAGATGGAGGCGCATATGGCCGAGGGACTTAAGACCGAGGCGTCTGGCCCCCGTCTATCAAGGGAATCTAATTCCACCCGAGAACTCTGTTTCGCGGATCCCGAGCTTCGTTTGGGCTTAGCCCCACGTATTTATTACGATGTCTTCAGTTCCTTTCAGTGCCGTGAACTACTCGTCGGTCAAGGTCTCGTCCGACAGCGTCTTCGTCACGTGGTTTCCGCTAGACCCGGAGCTGCTCCATGGACCTCCGTCGGGCTACAGAGCTCTGATCTGTCCTTACTCGTCGTTGGAATCATGTCATTTCCTAGATTTCGAGACAAATCACGCAATCTTCTCCGATCTGGAGCCATCGATGCGTTACAACATCACGGTGTGGCCATACAACGTTGATACGTTCGGGGACGTATTGCAAAACTCTAACCTTGCGTACACTCTCATCGTGCGAACAGCCCCCGCACGGGTGTCGTACGTGCTCCCAACTGTGGTTGCATCCGGCCTCATGCTCTTGTTGGTAGGGCTCTTCTTGACTTTTCTCAAACCGAGACTATTCCCACCGAAGCCGAGGCACTTTCAGCTGATTGAGGAAGAATTTTCGCTATGACCTGGAGCTACCTCCCTGACTCTGAGGCGATGATCGAGGGCGATCCCGAGGAGCAGCATGACAGGAATGAGCTCGCGGTATGGGGAGAAACGATCCTGAACTTCACGGACATTCCAGGAAGTCACCAGGAATCATCGCGTCGTAAAGATTATCGAGCTCCGTGGAGCGTTTTCGGTGTAAATAAAGTCAATCGTCACATCTGGGGCGTAAGATTCCTTCGCCTGTTTTAGCTTTTCCTCTTCCGGGCGATGCGGAGGACTGCATATGGTGGAGGAAGAACTGCATATGGAGGTAGAGAAATTATGCTCGATTCATTTATTGGAATTATTGGAGAGGTTAGCGGAATCAGGTGTTCAATTCCGCCCGGCTCCGAGGAAAAATTGGTCCACCATGGCCCATATCCAGCGGAGTTATCTCTTCAAATCACACCTCATCTTGATGGAATGTTCCGTCGGGGCGGAACGATCAGAAGGAACAGATCGATCGACCCCGGCAGAACTCGCAGGGATCCCTTCTGTATGTCCTTTACGAATTCGGAGCGCAGAATTCTGGTTGAATGTCGCTACTTTCCCGGGAGCTCGAAATGGTCCAAATCTCGACGCGAATCCTTGATATGATTGCCTTACGGAAGAGATCCTCGGAGGAGAGGCTTCGAGAACGGATAACTTCGGTAAAGCGGATCCTTCATCTTCCCCCGCCATCGATACAGGCGAAGCATCCGACCGTTGGTCTTCGCTGCGCGAATTGATAGAGGGCGAGGAAGTCTATCTGACAGTCCGAGAAATCGACGAAATCCAAGTGAGGACACAGGCCTTCCAAGGCGGAAAGCGTGACTCCAGTGATTGAGGAGCAAGACATAACCATGAGGGTCCGGAGAAAAGGTTCTCGCCGAAGCAGGGACGTCATTCCAGCATCTGATATGCGCGCACAGTATTTGAACGATAATTTCTTCAGGCGTCCGTGGTGAGCCGCTATACTCGCCAGTCCAACGTCCGATAGGCTACAATCCAAGAGAGAAAGTTCCTCCATGTCCGATGAACCTACGCCATGCTCGAAAGTCAAATCAGTTAGTCTGAATGCGTCCCAGAGCCTGAGAACCTTCAGCCGCTTCAAGTTACGAAGCTTAACCCCATCGGAATCGGTCAGCGCCTGGCAGGCTTGGAGATGGAGTTGCTCGAGTTTCTTGAGGTTTTCAACGATCACGGCAAAGCAATCTGGTTTGAATTTCCTGCACTCCACTCTTAGGCTTCGAATATCTTCGAGATGCCTTATGTTCTGGAAAACTGAGATATCGCATTTTTCGTACGTGAGGTCTAGATGCTGCAGTGACGAGAGCCTGCTCGAGTTGCGGAGCAGCTCGCCGCATATACCAGCACAATAAACCATACTCAAGCTGCGGAGTTTCTTCAACTCGTAAACGTGCGTTAGGCATCGACCCGTGATCCAATCACCACCCCATAACTCTAGGCACTCCACATCGGGGGTCCCACGGAGCAGTTGTGCGACGTTTTCATCCCCCAGATGCGCGCCTTGGAGATCCACATGCCGAAGCTTGCTGCAAGAGCCTATAGCAGCAAAAGCCTCCCGCGTGAGATCATCGCAGTCGCTCAATACGATGTGCTCGAGGCTCGAGGAGTACCTCTCCACGATCTTGATCACGCTTTCGTCGTTAATTTGCCCGAAAGATATATCTATCTTTGTGAACATCGAATGTGATCTCAGCAATGCAGACAACACGTCTTGGAGCGAGTTCTCGTCGGGGAAGAAGAATGTCAAGGAGATAGATGTCAATGACGGCATCAAATCGAGTAAGCTGCCGAGAATTACGCCCGTGATGTGATGTTCAGTGAAATCCCTCAGTGATAGATGCCGCATGCAGCGGAGTGACCTGCGCGCGTCCTCAGCCTTCATTCCTCTTGGCAGGCCCAGCTTCGAAGTTGGATAGAGATTAGTCGCTGGAGAAAAGATTCGGAGTGTCCATCACTAAAACATATTGAAGCTTCACAAGCTCTCATGAAGTCGAGAGTATCGAACTCGTAGTTTTCCGATTTAGTATTTCCGATATGGACTCCGAGCGGTGGGTCGCTAGTAACGGAGAGTTCCAATGATACTTTCGCGGCTAATGTATTGCGATTCTTTCTGATGGTCCTCGGCTAGCTGCCCGTTCATGCTACATGGATACCCCGATGCACTCACCGCAGACCACGAGGGACTCTAGACTCGTACAGGCGCAGAGAATGGCAAAAAGAACTCGCGGCGTTGAAGTGCATCTGATCAGTTCCAATTGGCGAAGGCTCCCACCAATTTTCGTCCAGAGCTTCCGATCGAAGTTGTGAAGAGAGCCTGGAAAATGCCGATGAGAGAGCTCAAGCGTGACGACGAAGACGTGCCTCCGATTCACAGGTATCCCTGGTACTCTACCTTGCTTGATCCTGAGACGTCTATACTTGCGCGTAGTTCTCATCAGGATGGGCTCCGCCGTCCGCATGTTTGAGCCCCTAATCACAAATTGGACATCTTCCAACAACTGCGGAGCGGCCACGACTCTTTCCCACCTTCGGCACACCTGTGCGCAGTTCAAGCGATCGATCGGATGCAGTCTGGCGAAGACCATGGCTAAGAGCTGGGGAAAGATATTAAATGTCTGATCAATGACAACTCTGCTCAGCTGGTAGAGCTCTGATCCGAGGAATGAACAATCTGTGGGAAATACGGGCGAGCACTTGCGGTCGCCGGCACATTCCAAGGGTAATCCCAGTCACGGAGATATCAAGGGGACATCAATAACTCCGATCCTGAGTGAACGAACCTCTGGCGGTAGTTTCTCCATCGCGATCTATCGTCTCGATGCTTTCGTCAGTAGACACTCCACTTCTTGATGTACGTCTTGAGCCCAAGGAACGAACGGAGGGTTGAGCAGATCCTACGAGACCGGAGACTTCTTTCCCGACACTGATGCGGATGGAGGGCTTCGTCTCATCAGATATAACGAGAGATATGCTGCCCCATGTGCTTGTAGGGACTCCAGTCGAGCACCGCACAAGACACTGCAATGTGCAGAGTTTATCGCGGAATATATGCTCATATATCGAATGTACATGAAACATCTCATCGACGCCAGACAACCTCATCTCGACCATGAACTCCAGGTTCGAAGATCTCAAATCCTGGTCCGTGGTCTCATTGGGGCGTGGGCGCACCGCTCTCTGGTACCGCATTTCCCTATTATCATGGTCGAGCTCTTGTCCTCCTCCCGAAAGAGTTGATTTATTGACACTCTCTGATTATATCTCAGTCTCAATATATATCAGATGACCCTGGTGCAGGGGCGATGTCTCTAGCAGGTCGATTCATGTGATATCCTTCTTCGGTTCCGGTGGTAGTCCTCCTCCGTTCCCATTCCTCTAGTAGCACTTTAGTCCTCGTGATCATCCTCGGCGTGCTGTCTTCATGTAGCCCTAGTTTTCTTTGCACGATTCACTCGGCCTCCGGCGGGCTGTCACATTCCAATATCACATGTTCCAGAGTTTCCTCGGCCTTGCCACATCTTTGGCAGGTTGGATCGATGTTCTCGAAGCGTGACCGATATCTCCTGGTCTGCAAGCATCCTGCTCTCGCATTCGCAAGGAAACGACTGCCTTGCGTGTTATCGCATAGGTGCTCGATAGTGCCCTTCGCAGTCTTGAAACTCTTGTATCTGTCTAAGGTGGTTTTACCTGACATTCCGTCCTGCCAATCTGAGTCTAGTTTGGCTCGCACTGATTCTTCTACATATTTCTTGTAGGCCGCCCGGCTTATCCGTTTATTCCTGGTCGACAATTGCCAGGGCTCCTGACAGTTAAATTCATCCCTCAGCTCCGATCTCCTGTCCTGGAGTTTGGTTTGCATATTGGTAATTTTAAGCATCGTCAAGATCGCCTTTGGCCATCTGGTCTCACTCATCTCGCCTATTCTGGCAAGATACGTGATTTTGCTTTCGGCCTCCCTCGCCTCGAAGCTGGACCAACCCAGCTCCCCGTCGATGAATTCTACCGCTGTGTTCGGGTTAGGCCCCCCTGAGGCCCTTCTACCAGCTTCTCGCTGTAGGTTTTCAAGTCTATTCCGCAGTCTTGCGGACATAGTTGTGACCGAATTCGCGTACGTCAGGGCGGGTACTGCTGTACTCTTCCATTGTATCCTTGTCGCCATAAATCTGTGGCAGCGCCATAAGGACTTCGCGTGCATCTGTCTTAGCACTTTCTCCGCCCTCTCTTCCCAGATTTTCTCCTGTTACTTTAGGTAGTTTTTCGAGTTATAGAGCGTTATTCCCAGGTACTTGTATTTCTCTAGTACCGTTAGTATTTGTCCCTGCATCTCTGATATGGCGTCATTTATCCGTCCCCGAGATCCTTGACTCTCCACGCTCGGAAATCCTCGTCGCGCAGGTTAGTCATTCCTATTTCTAGGAGCAGATGCACATACGTTGCATCGGTTTCGAATAATATCTGGTCGATCTTCTCGGCGTGTTTCGCCACTAGTCTCCTCGTCTCGCGTAGGAGACACTTCTTACCGAGGAGACCAACGAGGATCCTCTCGTTCTTGAGGTCTTCGAGGATACTCTCTCCGACCAAGACAGTCATTGTGATCGGGTCTCTCCTGACCTCCTCAACTGCCATACCTTCGACTTGGTCACCGATATCCTTCAGTGCCGCCTCGGTTTGTCCTTATTTCTCCTCTCTCCGTCCAATCTCGACGGTGAGAGCTTTAACCACAGTTGCGTGGTTGTTAATGAGTTCGCTCTTGGCAAGAACTTGTTTCCTTAGTTCTTCCTCTAGCGCTGGAATTCTCTGCCTTAGCAGATTGATATCTGCTAAGGCAGCGTTGTGTTCATCCGTTGCGCGTGCCATGAAGTTATTCTTCCACGCACATGCCACACAATTCAGTGCGGCGGTTCTTTCTGCTTCTCAGAGGTTTGCCTCGCATCCTTGGCAAAAATTTACGAGACATTCTGGTAAAAAAGGTTTTGTACTTCCTGGTGATCAGTGATCACAAACCACAGTATTCCCTCGGTTTTTCCACTTTTTTTCACGGTTTTTCTCGGGAGCTGAGAAAACGTTGTCCGGATCAGCGTCGAGAAAGAAGCCGGGCAGAGCGGCGAAGGCGCTGTTCGAACTCGAATTCCAGGGAGAGATCTCTCACTAGAGGTTGTGAATCCTCCTCTGGCATGAGACTTCCTGGGAAAAAAGAAAACATAAGATGGACTTCATACCTGCACAGCGGGGTCCCCTCGATACCATGAGCGATCGACCTCTCTATCTCGGAGACTTCTCCGTGGTTATGCGATAGATAGGCATTCCAAATCTGTTGTAACCTTGCGGATGACCCTCGACGTATTCGTTTCCTTCAAACGTGGCTCTGATGGAAGAGGAGTTCTGATCAACGTCGAACCTTAGCGTCAGGAATTCTTGGGAACACTCTGCGGCGTGTACGACTCTTATAGAGTTTGTTCGAACGAGAGCTTCAGGGAGAAATTGGAGTTTTCGAGTTTAAATCCTTACACTGACTACAATTTGACTCTCTCGAACAACTCAACCCATGAGTCCATCGCTTTCCGAACCGATTTGGGAGGTAAACTATCGCCGGCCCTCCAAAGTGTTCATCTATAATGGACGAACGTACTCGATAAACTCGTAATGGCGCAATTATTGTTCCGGAGGACTGATTGAGATGGAGGCGCATATGGCCGAGGGACTTAAGACCGAGGCGTCTGGCCCCCGTCTATCAAGGGAATTCAATTCCACCCGAGAACTCTGTTTTGCGGATCCCGAGCTTCGTTTGGGCTCAGCCCCACGTATTTATCACGATGTCTTCAGTTCCTTTCAGTGCCGTGAACTACTCGTCGGTCAAGGTCTCGTCCGACAGCGTCTTTATCACGTGGTTTCCGCTAGACCCGTAGCTGCTCCATGGACCTCCGTCGGGCTACAGAGCTCTGATCTGTCGTTACTCGTCGTTGGAATCATGTCATTTCCTAGATTTCGAAACAAATCACGCAATCTTCTCCGATCTGGAGCCATCGATGCGTTACAACATCACGGTGTGGCCATACAACGTTGATACGTTCGGGGACGTATTGCAAAACTCTAACCTTGCGTACACTCTCATCGTGCGAACAGCCCCCGCACGGGTGTCGTACGTGCTCCCAACTGTGGTTGCATCCGGCCTAATGCTCCTGTTGGTGGGGCTCTTCTTGACTTTTCTCAAACCGAGACTATTCCCACCGAAGCGGAGGCACTTTCAGCTGATTGAAGAAGAATTTTCGCTATGACCTGGAGCTACCTCCCTGACTCTGAGGCGATGATCGAGGGCGATCCCGAGGAGCAGCATGACGGGGATGAGCTCGCGGTAAGGGGAGGGAAGACCCTGAACTTCACGGACCTTCCAGGAAGTCACCAGGAATCATCGCGTCGCTAAGACTATCGAGCTCCGTGGAGCGTATTCGGTGTAAATAAGGCGTGAATCGTCGCATCTCGGGCATAGGATTCCTTCGCCTGTATCAGCCTTTCCTCTCCCGGGCTATGCGGAGGACTGCATATGGTGGAGGAAGAACTGCATATGGAGGTAGAGAAAATATGCTCGATTCATTTATTGGAAAGCTTAGCGGAATCAGGTGTTCAATTCGCCCGGCTCCGAGGAAAAATTGGTCCACCATGGCCCATATCCAGCGGATTTATCTCTTAAAATCACACCTCATCTTGATGGAATGTTCTGTCGGGGCGGAACGATCAGAAGGAACAGATCGATCGACCCCGGCAGAACTCGCAGGGATCCCTTCTGTATGTCCTTAACGAATTCGGAGCGCGGAATTCTGGTTGAGCGTCGCTACTTTCCCGAGAATTCGAAATGGTCCAAATCTCGACGCGAATCCTTGAAATGATTGCCTTCCGGAGGAGATCCTCGCAGGAGAGGCTCCGAGAACGGATAGCTTCGATAAAGCGGATCCTTCATCTTTCCCTGCAATCGATACAGGCGAAACTTCCGACCGTGGGTCTTCGCTGCGCGAATTGATGGAGGGCGAGGAAGCCTATCTGACAGTCCGAGAAATCGACGAAATCCAAGTGAGGACACAGGCCTTCCAAGGCGGAAAGCGTGACTTCAGTGATTGAGGAGCAAAACATAACCATGAGGGTCCGAAGAAAAGGTTCTCGCCGAAGCAGGGACGTCATTCCAGCATCTGTTATGCGCGCACAGTATTTAAACGATAATTTCTTCAGGCGTCCGTGGTGAGCCGCTATACTCGCCAGTCCAACGTCCGATAGGCTACAATCCAAGAGAGAAAGTTCCTCCATGTCCGATGAACCTACGCCATGCTCGAAAGTCAAATCAGTTAGTCTGAATGCGTCCCAGAGCCTGAGAACCTTCAGCCGCTTCAAGTTACGAAGCTTAACCCCATCGGAATCGGTCAGCGCCTGGCAGGCTTGGAGATGGAGTTGCTCGAGTTTCTTGAGGTTTTCAACGATCACGGCAAAGCAATCTGGTTTGAATTTCCTGCACTCCACTCTTAGGCTTCGAATATCTTCGAGATACCTTATGTTCTGGAAAACTGAGATATCGCATTTTTCGTACGTGAGATCCAGGTGCTGCAGTGACGAGAGCCTGCTCGAGTTGCGGAGCAGCTCGCCGCATATACCAGCACAATAAACCATACTCAAGCTGCGGAGTTTCTTCAATTCGTAAACGTGCGTTAGGCATTGATCCGTGATCCAATCACCACCCCACAACTCGAGGCACTCCACATCGGGGGTCCCACGGAGCAGTTGTGCGACGTTTTCATCCCCCAGATGCGCGCCTTGGAGATCCACATGCCGGAGCTTGCTGCAAGAGCCTATAGCAGCAAACGCCTCCCGCGTAAGATCATAGCAGTCGCTCAATACGATGTGCTCGAGGCTCGAGGAGTACCTCTCCACGATCTTGATCACGCTTTCGTCGTTGATTTGTCCGAAAGATATATCTATCTTGGTGAACATCGAATGTGATTTCAGTAATGCAGACAACACGTCTTGGAGCGAGTTCTCGTCGGGGAAGAAGAATGCCAAAGAGATAGATGTCAATGACGGCATCAAATCGAGTAAGCTGCCGAGAATTACGCCCGTGATGTGATGTTCAGTGAAATCCCTCAGTGATAGATGCCGCATGCAGCGAAGTGACCTGCGCACGTCCTCAACCTTCATCCCTCTCGGCAGGCCCAGCTTCGAAGTTGGATAGAGATTAGTCGCTGGAGAAAAGATTCGGAGTGTCCATCATTAAAACATATTCAAGCTCTCATGAAGTCGAGGATATCGAAATGCTTGTTTTCGGCAGGATTTCCGATATGCACCCCGAGCGGTGGGTCGCTAGTAACCGAGAGTTCCTATGATACTTTCGCGGCTAAGGTAATGCGATTCTTTCTGCTGGTCCTCGGCCAGCTCCCCGTTCATGCTACATGGATACCCCGATGCACTCACCGCAAACCACGAGGGACTCTAGACTCCTACAGGCGCAGAGAATGGCGAAGAGAACTCGCGGCGTGGAAGTGCATTTGATCAGTTCCAATTCGCGAAGGCTTCTACCAATTTTCGTCCAGAGCTTCCGATCGAAGTTGTGAAGAGAGCCTGGAAAATGCCGATGAGAGAGCTCAAGCGTGACGACGAAGACGTGCCTCCGATTCTTAGGTATCCCTGGTACTCCACCTTGCTTGATCCTGAGACGTCTATACTTGCGCGTAGTTCTCATCAAGATGGGCTCCGCCATCCGCATGTTTGAGCCCCTAATCACAAATTGGACATCTTCCAACAACTGCGGAGCGGTCACGACTCTTTCCCACCTTCGGCACACCTGTGCGCAGTTCAAGCGATCGATAGGATGCAGTCTGGCGAAGACCATGGCCAAGAGCTGGGGGAAGATATTAAATGTCTGATCAATGACAACTCTGCTCAGCTGGTGGAGCTCCGATCCGAGGAATGAACAATCCGTGGGGAATACGGGCGAGCGCTCGCGGTCGCCGGCACATTCCAAGGGTAATCCCAGTTACGGAGATTTCAAGGGAACATCAATAACTCCGATCCTGAGTAAACGAACCTCTGGCGGTAGTTTCTCCATCGCGATCTATCGTCTCGATGCTTTCGTCAGTAGACACTCCACTTCCTGATGTACGTCTTGAGCCCAAGGAACGAACGGAGGGTTGAGCAGATCCTACGAGGCCGGGGACTTCTTTCCCGACACTGATGCGGATGGAGGGCTTCGTCTCAGATATAACGAGAGATATGCTGCCCCATGTGCTTGTAGGGACTCCAGTCGAGCACCGCACAAGACACTGCAATGTGCAGAGTTTATCGCGGAATATAAGCTCATATATCGAATGTACATGAAACATCTCATCGACGCCAGACAACCTCATCTCGACCATGAACTCCAGGTTCGAAGATCTCAAATCCTGGCCGTGGTCTCAGTGGAGCGTGGGTGCACCGCTCTCTGGTACCGCATTTCCCTATTATCATGGTCGAGCTCTTGTCCTTCTACCGCATGATGCATGAGTTCCGGGAGCATTATTAGACTAAACAGATCGATCGAAAACACGTCGGCGTCGATACCGGGGAGGGTTCTAGAGCGGGGAACGATACTTCTTTCATTCCGCGATGAGTGCGGAGCCGGGCATCCACAATATACAATATCATCATCCCGACAAGGGAAAAACTCCTTCAGAAGACTCCCGAATTCAGCATCATTTCGGGGAGTTCGCGTCATGGAGACGGCGGCAAGTGTGGAATCTCGAAAGTTCCCGGGAGCAAACTCGGGTGTAGTATGAGAAAGGCCGACGGGACTCCCTCGACGAGGACCTCCGTTCTGGACAATTATATTGAGTCGGAACATTGTAACGATCATCGGGACCCACGCAGCAGATCCGAGGAGGCGGAAGGTCTCTAGTCTCTTCGCATGCACATGCATTGCTCGCGGCTGCGCCGTAATTCATCTATCTTTCGTTATGCCTTGAATGCTCCGGAGTCGATTTCACTTCGCTCGTCTACGCTTTAGAGCGAACTCATGATCGAAGTGGATAAGTCCCAGTGGAGCCTGATTTGGAGCGGATACCCAGGCAGCTTGAGAGGGTTCCCTCCTTCCTGAGGGAATGAGATCATCTCCTACCACGTGTCGTTGATCCGCGGTCCCCATCATTCGGCAGGCTCGTGGATGCAGCGCCCGGTAGCGCCGGCGCCGCGCTGTCCAGCTCGGGCACGAATGTGCCTTCTGCTCGGGAAACATCCCGCCGAGATCGATAGAATCTCTCGGCGATGAATTCGGGCTCGATATTTCCACTCAAGAAAATTCATATAGGTTCTCGAGAATCATCATGTACAATATTTATACCGAGTCAGCAATCGACGAGTACCACTACGCGTGGACATTTGGGTGAAATCGTATGACAAAATAGACGGTTGCCATTATTGGTCGAGTGCTCCGAAAGAGCTATACACAAGAAGATACAATACATCTAATCACTAAACGCTATTCCTAGTAGAGGGTACTTGAATGTCCCCGTCGTAGGTTCGTACTACATTGAAGCGATAAACCTTTCGACGGTTGCTCCTGGATTTCCGCATGTAAATCATGAAACCTAGCCCGACAGCGAGGACGCCTGCCGAGCCCGCGATTACAAAAATCAGGGAAGTTTGAGAGTCCGGTGCAGTGGTTGCCTGACAGGAAGACACGACGACGGGGTTCTCCAATCGATGATGAAACGAATTTTTGTTGAAGGTCCATATGCGGATGGTGTACATCGTCTGGGGTTTGAGCCCGCTCAGCTCTACTTTGGCTTCTCTCGTCTCGACTTCATCGCAGCTCGAGTTGCAAAATTGGAGTCTGTATCCCGTCGGGGGTCCGTAGAGCTTCAAGTGGTCCAAAGCAGTCCAGCTCAGCGCGATCCAGAACGCTTTGACTTCGACCACAGTGATGTTGAGGAGAGTCGCTGGGGCTGCGAAGCGGAAACCGATATTTGAGCTCGATGACCAGATGACTCAGCTGAAATCAGTACGCGCGGGGATTCACGGCGGGAGGACTGCCCTTAACCCATAACTTCATAGTGCCCAATTCAAAGTCGAGGTGAACTCACTGCCATAGTCGGATTGGAAAACTTTTACGGCGGTTTCGTTCCTGCTGCCAGCTTCGGCCGTCACGTTATATTTTGTGAAGGGCTGGAGATCGGTGACATTGTGTTCTCCTTTCACAGGACCATAGCTTTCGCAAGAAGCGCCTTCCCTCATCTCACACCACGTCAAGTTCACCTCCTGATCATCCGGCGAGACCTTGAAGGTCGCCTCGCGACCGTCACTGTCCGGAAGTGGCCAATAGTTTACTTCGAGGGCCGCCTGGGAAAGGAAGGACGTCATGATTGTTTGCGACTCGGGAGGGCTCGCGGATCATCAGATTTCACTACATAGACACGTGTCCCGAATGCACAGCATCAACCTAATGACGAGTCTGACAACTTCACTCACTGTGATCGCGAAGCTCAAAACTATTGACGAGCAGCGGAGCATTGTGGGGCCTACTTCGCTATAGCATAGACTGGACTCGCTGCCGCGTAGGATTATGTGATCTTAGCGCAATAGAAAGGGAAGTATACTTAGGAAGCCCAATCGAACAAAAGAATTTCCCGTGGTCAGGAGGCCTAAGCGTAGTACGTTTTGTATTCGACCAATTCAAGAATTAGTGGGAAACCTCTGAGAGCTGTTTCGCGGAACTTCGAATCCCCACACATTTCCGCTGATGCAACGTTCCGTCGACTCTGTATCGATTCAGCGTACCAGGAAGCTCGTGGATTTAGTTCTTTAGACAAAGCCTCGTCGCACAAATCGAGCTTTCGGATCTCCCTTCCTCTCGTTCGAAACCAACGAATGGATAACTTGAGAATCGGGAAGCGCAGATCATGGTCACGAGGCTCCTGAACGCTCCGCTCAATGACTCCCGTGCTTCCCGAGGATCCCTCATGAGTCATGACTAATGATTCTTGGTAAGAGATTATCCGCGCAGTTCTGGTCTGCATTGGGCGCCCGACGTGCCTCGTCGCATGACGTCCGGCGCGCGAAATCCACCTGAGAGCGAATCCATCACCACCTCACGGTTAGCTTTCTCTAAAAAAAGTTATTTATTTTTTATGATTCTAGATTTTTTGGCTGATTGTGACCGATCTCGTCAGCAATGAAGCGGCACTGCTTCTCAGAAGGCTTGTGGAATTAGGCGGGATTTTACCCGAAGAATCCAGGACTACTTCACGGATCACAAACGCATTTCCGTGTACGGAAAGCCGGGGATCGACTTGAGCTATAGTTCGATACAACGCGTTTCTAACAGATCCGATACTCTGCGTAACAATGAATCAAATTCCGCTGAGTCTCCGAATTCCCGGATAGTACCCGAGAGAAAGCCAGGCTGAGTTGCGTCCGAGGGCCCTGAACACCGATTAACATCCGAATTGCATAGCGAAGACGAAGCTCTTCGGAGACGGTTCGAACAGCACTCGTTTAACAAGGGACTTCCTTGCTTCTTCTCAGTGTCCGACAGTCGGCAAGGGCAATCCTCCACGGAGGCAGTCGGTCTTCTCTCGGGCTCAATAGCATTAACTTCGGGTTGGATTCCAGATCCGGCCAGTCTTCGTCTTGAGGATGTGCCGTGACACCAAAACAGTGAAAGACGACGCAAGGTGATTATTTTTAGAGATCTTCGCGATGCGAAACAACGCTTCGTTAGACAACGGAGACCGCATGGCTCTACCGACCACATCGCCGGTCATTATCTTGTGGTATCGATGCGTCAGAATTCCTCTTTCGCTTTGGTTTCGGTGATTGGGATGTGCAGCTCGAGACAGTCCGCTCCGTCCCTGAGCCCGACCGCCGCAATTTGTCATTGTTTTCAGCTGGCGGGCATCGTTCGCCTCAAAACTGCATACTCCTCTAAGAGGTCTCCTGCGCATACATGGGCTCCAATATTCGAGCTGCCTATGCGGAAGATACTATCTGTGAAATAAATACACATCTCAGATTATCACATTGGAGCACTAATAACATCCATCGATTTGTCGGCTCACGAGGGAGGGTTGGCACTGATGCCAAATCTTCCGATCGAGTGTCGCACCGCTAAATGCCTGAGGTAGGCTCGCAGAATAATTCCAGACTCATCTTGTGGAATACCCAGTGCTCAAAATGTCGGACTAGGCAAACCGCGGCCAACTCGCTCGGCGGAGCATCGCCATATTCCATCTTACGGCGAAACATCTCATTCCGCGACACACATCTGAGTTATCTGAGCCATCGGTTATTGTATCCGGACGGGAAGGAACTCTAATGGCGCCAGTTCCTAGAGTACAGAGCAGGAATGTTTCTTCTTCTTCCGACGGCGTTTCCTCCGTCGGATCGACAGCTGGGCGGCTTTTCGGAACACATCGCACACGGCCACATCTGCCAGCGCAGAACACTCGATAAAAGCATCCGCTTTGATATATCCGGCCAAATTCCTTCCGTCATCCACGCTGACGAACTTGCACTTCTGACGTTCATTAAAATTCATCTCGTCGAGCGGTGGTCTGAGGTCGAGCTTCGTGCCCACGAGCACAACAGGTACATCTGGTAGGTAGTAGGAGATTTCAGGGTACCATTTCTCGATGACATTCGCCATCGTATCTCGGTCGGCGACCGAATAGGCGATGATCACAACATCTGTATCGTTATACGAGAGCGGACGCAACTTCTCGTAGGCCTCTTGCCCCGCCGTATCCCACAAGCTGAGGCGGACGTCTTTGCCGTCGACTGACACCGATGAAACGTCGGTATCAAATACGGTAGGTATGTAGGTTCGCGGAAAATCTCCGTGAGCGAAGCGTGTCAGTAAACTGGTTTTCCCACAATTTCCGTCGCCGACTATCACGATCTTCTTGTAGTTCTCCGGCGACTCGGACGTCATTGTTGTCACGCAGCTGGGCCTTACTAGGACGGCTCGGCCCATGGCGGCGTGAATCCTGGCACGACCCCGCGCTGCTCACTATCTCCATAAGCTCAGTACTCGAAAGCAGACACTTCTCCTCGGTGCCACAGTCGTCGCCGTCGTTGACGCTGGACCTAAACAAATGGACAAACAGACGACACGCTTACTCACTCGCGGGCTCACTGAATATCGACGACGGCGGTCAAGGCCATCCTATCAGGCGAACACACAAGATCTCTCTCCTCATCCAACGACTGTGAGAGAATCTTGTTACGATTATTGCGAAAAGCCGTCATCAACTCGGGGTTCGGGTCGCATCATGGAAAAGTTATAATGAAGATATTGTGGGCTGCGAGAGCGAAGACCCTGAGAGCGGCAATCGATAAACTCAGGATCGAAATGTCGGCCCAGCAGAGGGTCTTCTTTGTCGGCGCTAGATTGTGCAGTGATGGAGAGGGGAACCCGACTCAGCGTCGACCGACTCCAGACAGCGCATTCTGTCCTGAAAACAAATGAAGCCGATGTCGTGCGGCGATCCTGAGCGGGATCTGGATAATCGATGTTCCTCCCGACGGTCTCGTGAGGCCATTGGCGGACATCGACGGAGCTGTGCTCACTCCAGAGTCGACGGTGGCTCTCAGGGCAGTTTGTCAGGCTCAATATCCGCACCACATTGTCCCATGGACCTTGATTGACCCAGAGATCTCAACAACATAACCGGAGCGCCAGAAGCGAGCACATCATACATGCAAGCTCATGCGGGTCGCCCGCTTTTCGCGAAAATCCGTGGGGGCTCCCCGTTTCGCGCTGACTTCACCCTCTTTGGGCACTTGAGGGAGACGTTCTAGAGATTGGAGGAGTCGCGTGTATTCATTGTTGACGCTTGCTCCTCTCCTGAAAGCGATAGCGGACTCGCGAGGCTACATGTGTCCCATCTAAGTAGCACCTTCGCGAAACCAGGCGCGGACGTCCCTCCTCCGCAGTTAATCGGCTAGCGATCATGGTCTTCAGGCGTCGCGAAGAAGAGTGAAAGAAAATCGCTCATAATAGTGGATTTACACCCTCCTATACTTACATGAACGGATACAGAGAGCGGTCATCGGAGCGATCGTGGAGAATCGGGCTCATTTCTCGGATATCTCGGTGGTCTCAGAAACATAGAACCGGGATCCCCGAGCGATCACTCTTGTGCGACGCAACCCTGATCGACGTTCCTAGAGGGGGATCTCAGGCGTCGAATCACGCCAGTGATGGAATTTGGACTTGCTTGGCCTCCATCGAGTTCGGCGGCTACAGCATTTCGACGATGACAGCGTCCAATGAATCCTATCGGGTCAAATCATCGTCTGACGTGGCCAGATGACCATCGTAAACCACTGGAATGTTATACGAGCCGAATCTAAATTAGCGTCCCCTCGCCGCGATGAGAAAAAATCGTGGAGCGAGATCGCCGCTGTCGCGTCGTCCGTATTCTGCGATTGATGGGCTTTGCATAGTAGAACTGCTCATGAGGATTTGACCCCTCTCTCCACGATGGGAGCCAAGAGCTCCAAAAGTAGACAGCGCCGCTATGATCGGAGATTGCGGCGATCTTGTGGGAACGTATGCGATGCGTAGAAAGAGGTCTCCACATAGGAGGCGGAATCCCCCTCGCCTGAACATATCAGTTCGTCGCCAGGGAAATCGTGAGAGATAGTTCCAAGCCTTTCCCATGGGTCTGCCAAAATTTCAGTGTGATATATTGAGTTCATTAACAGTGCGTGCGGTTTATTTTTTTCATTCATCAGTAACTTTGATTTTGCAGTAACGCTTCTCCTCGTTTTCACCCTCACAGACTTGACATTTCTCCACGGAATCGGTGAAAAGTTTATGTAGGAGCTTGTTTTGGATGCACGTTGTCTGCCCGCCTCGAGTGTACTGCGACAACTGTAAAGACTCAAGAGATGAGCACGGTGAAGGTATTAAAGGGCAAGTTACCGAGACTGAACGCCCTGGTCTGCTGCTCCTTTCTGGTGGTAGCATGCCCACTCACCATACGATTCAAAGACCCGGCGCAGAACCAAGGTTTCTTTGGATCGGCTGAGACCGCCCACTTGGCATGATCTTCGGTTGTCGTGAAAACAGATTGTTTTCCGTTCGCGAACTTAATGATCACGTTGGCCATGTTGGTGACATGGTGGCCTCTGATGGGACAGGTGGCGTCCAACTTCCCCCCAGCCCCGTTTCTCCACGTTTCAACGATCAAGTTGGCTCCCAGGTGAGGGGCGATGACATTAGCGTAGATCTCTGAAATTCCGTGTCGAGATCGGTATGTATGCCCTCAGTAGAGAAAAGCGACTCTCGGACAGCAGCTTACATATCTTCCTCGACGAATTCCGACGATTTTCAATTCCATGGTGAGCAGTCTGATGTAGCTCCTTACCGTCATTGAGCGACTGATGCTTTGCGAAACTGGTGAATTCGGTCCCTTTGCTTCCAATCAGAGTGTCGGTGAGCACGGGCGTCGAAGGTTTTCTCAGGAACTTCTTATCCATCATGTTGATGACATCATCGTCTTTCAAGAGCTCCTCAGGAGCTCCCGACTCATAGATGTAAGGATACTGATGGCGGAGAGCAAGAGCTGTGGAGAAGCGGATGAAAGAATTAAACGGAATCGGATGATGCTGATGTGAGGCTTCAAGATGCTCCGGTGACAAGACGCACGACTTCTTACACTCAGAGCGTAACGTACCGACTTTGGGGAGCTGATTGCCCTTGAAGGACGTACACATAAACACCTGTCCATTGTTCCTGCCGGACTCCGGGTATTCGTAAGTTTTGGACGTGACGTTGAACGGGAACCGAGGTACGGAGTGGACCAGCCAGAAGCCTTTATCCTTATTGAACTGGACAACTCCTGCGAAAGATATATCATCTTCGTACAACGATCTCAGGAGAATCCGATCGAGTCGAAGTATCGACCATCCCCCACCTCGCCGACTAGGGGAGAATGAGCGCTCTAGAACATTCACCCACCCTTGGTATGACCCTTCGCAGATCCGGTGTAGGGCTCTGGAGGTTGATCGCTGTATACGGCGTACAGAGAATCTTTCGGAGCAGAGCCGGTGAAAAGATCACCGAGAGTTTCGGCCACCGGGTTTCCTTTGACCTGATTCAGAAAAAATATCGTGGCAGTCTTCGTTCCATGTGTATTCGAGAGTTCGGATCCGTCTCGAGAGTCTTACGTCGTAGACAGATGCCTTGAGAAGGATCCAGCCCTTAGCGTCTTTCATCGTGGAATCCACATAGGCCATCTCCCCTCCGTCGGGGATATACGTCGACTCCGCATACGGCTTCGTCTTTGGCAATTTGTAGATAACGTACCTGCGGGCAGCCTTCCCCCTATGAGTTATCTTTCGGTGGAGAACAGAATGCCGGAGCCGTAAAAGCGGCGTATGTCCCAGAAGTCTTTGAGAGAAATTCGCTCGGACCGCGGCCTGAGGCCCCTCTGCGCGGTCGGACCTTGGAACCCGAAGAGCTCACCATTCGACGTCTTTACCCGCGTGATTCTTGCACTGAGGCGCGGAGTAAGCCAAAGGCGCGAGGAACGCCAACAGAAGAAATACGGTCGCCATTTTTGACAATGAATCCTCCGTCAATCTCGAATGCATTTTATAGAGAATCGAAACACTTGCGTTTCCGGAGAGAGCGTTGGAATCACTATTCATGGATCACCGATTTCGGGAGCTTTCATTCAAAGGATAGCCTGAGGAGATCCCGACTCGATTCAAACTCAGCGAGAGGAACCTCAATAGTCTCTCCATGAAGTTCTCGAGCTCATACCGTCGTCGGTGTTCCCTCTGCGACTCCCGCTGGGATTTAGTAATCTAGACCGCGAGACGGGTTAATGCGCATTCTATCCCGCGAAAATCGAGATCCTATCCCTCGAAATACAGTTCGAGGCTTTGGTCCATGAGGGGGATAATCGATGCGTAGGGAAAGATACGCTCGCTAGGGCACCAGGAGCGTTCATGCCTCTCGACGTCGTAAGCTCGAGATCGAACTTTCTGAGAGGCATTGAAAGCTCGACGAAGAGGTGACGCGGGAGCCCTGTCGACGCGGGATAATTTCGCTTTACAATCCCGCGGAAGGTCGTGGAGCCTAGATGTGTTTGACAAGACACGGCTATGACGTCGTAGACGGATCGACTATTCTAGGTGCAGCCGGAGAGGTTAGAAGCGATCCTATGTTTCTATGTCGCTCCTGTAGAACTCTGCACGTGACTCCTGTGCCGCTGAAACGTGGATACATGGTTCGCGATTCAGAGGAGAAGTCGCCGGAGGGAACTTCTCCCGGGGATGTGGCCGAGAGTCGCTACTATAAGAATCCGTTTTATGACAGCGACAGAGCCAATATTTCCAGAGAGCAGAGACAAGACATGCCCCACAGAGTGTCTCCGGAGCCGAGGCGCTCCGTGACGTCAGCAGTCCACGCGCCAAACTGAACGAAATCGATCAGGAACGCAGAGTCTTTCGCAGACATTGTTGCATCGTCAGTTCCTCCCAGGTAAGGCTCGGAGACAATCGTAACCTTCTAGGCTCGCTCCTGACAACCTGGTCGTGTTCGGTCAATATCGCTGCTGAGGTTGGTAATTCGGCACATTGTTGTTGACATTTCAATCAATGGCCCAGAGACTTCGATTACGTCGCCAATCACCTCGTAGCCGGCAAAGCCCGTGTACAAATGATAACATTTTTCTTCAGAACTTCATGTCTTCTGCTCTACAGAAATTCAAGATGGCATACCGGCGAAGTACAATCTCTCTCCGTTCCCTGGTGATGGATGTCACATTGGACGATGGAAGATTTCGCTTCCCCGAGGGAAAATTTCTGAAGTTAGTCCTCGTATCTGTCCACCGTGGCGATTTCTCCTTATTGGCACGGGACGTGGAAGGTACTCCCGAACGTATATACATTCCTCTGAGAGCTTGCTGGAGCGCCGTCAAGTATTTTGGGGGAATGGAGATATTGTTCCATTTATCTCTTCCTCTCCGATGAGGTAGAAACAATCAGACTAGTTCCGAATAGTCGACATAATTGGGGAACTTGAGTCTTCCTGGACCGATGACTCATCTAGACAGTCCGTCTCCCCTCAGATAGGTGTGTTCGATGCTTCGCTGCCGAATCTAGGGTGATCGGATAGGTACGTCAAGGAATTGGAGAAGATCAGGTATACATCCTTCAGAAATATCAATGCTTGGAATTACTCGAGATGGAAGTCAGTAGAGCTTCCCGAATAAGGAAGCATTCTTGAAAATATAGCTCTCGGTTAGAGCTCAGACCCACGCAGAGGATGCCATGGTGACCTCCGAAACAAACATTGAATGAGAGATCCCTCGTTCACCGGACGGAGCGGCTCATTCGGAGCACGCGGTCAGTCCCTTGACGTTAGTTCACCTCATTCGATACTGAAGTGTCGGGAATCGGGAATGCTTCGATAACTTTCCGCCGGTTTCACCAACCTCGAGTGTGTCTCGTAGGAGCTACTACGGTGAGTGCTTGGAATACGATTCGAAGCGACGCCACGACAAGGAAAATCGAACAGTTGGTTCCGATCCTCGCGCTCACGTGCGAAAGCTCGTCGAATCGGAGGGGACGGCCCCGGATGAAATTAATCTGAATCGCCGATATCGGACTTTTCCGCGGTAAATTCTTCGCAGCCGGGCAAGCCACAGTCAGCGACGAGTGGGAAGGGCCTCGGCTCCAGTCGGAATCCCGATCCCACTACGATTCGATTCGCTCGTTATTCTCATCGTTGAAGCTTGCGTTCAATTCGCGGATAGCAGCCTTTCCACGGCACGGAAGGGTTTCATCCGGCGCGGGGTCCCCAGAAATTCGATGGAATCTATGAGAAGAGACTCTTCCTGAACCGATTTACGGCATCCTGAAATGCTCACTGGTGCTCCCTCCATCGAATATAGGATCCAGGATCGATACGGTAGCTCATTATCCCACTTCGACGCGAACAATTAAAAAATCGTCCTCCTTCGAATCTCGTGTTTCGATCGAATATTTTCTGACCGAAGTTTTTGGAAAAACGGCGGATCCGAGCGATGATAAAATAAAATCTCTGGGTTTTGCTCCTCTTTGGAAGGGCCTGAACATCTCGAGTTACCCCTCAGCGTTATCATCTGGAGTGCGGTCGATGAGCGTAGATCGATCGACCAACGCCGGATCAGAATTGAAGAGCAACACGGAGTTCGGAGCTTTTTGGCCCTCAGAACAAGCAGGTACTCGACCAGACGACCAATAGTCGGACCGTGTGACGGTCTAGGACATGAATGAATGGAACACGGTGAGGGCGAATTCATAAACCGGACGTCGCATCCGGCCCTCTGGTCGTCCAGCGAATGAACAACGAGCCGAGTGACAGAATGGAACTTCACTGAAAACTGCTCTAAGCGCGTCGACGAATGTGATTCTAGTGCTAAACCGCCAGATCGGGTGGGTCGTATCAGAGCTGGAGCTCTGGTTCACAAGTTCGGATTTGTTTGATGTGACTCGAGTTCAAGTGATTAGTTCGCGCGCCTCCTGTGACAGGCGACCGTCCCTGGTCAGTGGACCGTGGAATCCAGGTGGACGGTGTTTGGTGAGAACCGTAAAAAACTTTGGAATGTTGTTGAATCATCTGTTGCGTTCACCTGCGTCCAGTGGGTCTTTCCGTAACTGCGCTGAACCGAGTCCATTCCTGCTCCCCGAAAGCTTGAAATTTTCGGTACTTGAAAGATATCTAGATAGCAATATTTTTATCCTAGTACGTTTCTGCGGGGAAACCACACGGCTGAGCTCACCGCAGAGGGTGTCTTATCAGCATTGGTAATAATTACCTCTTTTCGATTTGGATCCTCTGCGAGTATTAACGATGGAGGACGATCAGAGTAAGAGCGTCGTATGTTCCATAGATGTATCATCACCCCAGATGATAGCTCCCAATGTCTCCACAAGCGCTGCTACTCAAGTGTTTCATCCCACTGATTAGCGTCTTCGGATCACGAGGGATGCCGACGAATGCCACGAAAACAGCCAAACACTGTGAGTAAGACTGCGGTACAATCACGAAGACTGGAACCGCTCCGGGTATGCGAAGTCCATCTGTGACGAAATCGATTCCATTTAATCCTAAATCTCTATTTCAAGCTGAACTCATGACCATGGTGACAACCTCATACGTGGAGAGGATGCCGGCTTTCCTAGAGTCGCAGTCCCCCGTCTTGGAGATGGTAGACGGGAATCCGTGTTTGACAGGTGAATATCGCCGGGCCTGAAGTGAATCGGATGTATCGGTCTGAGGGGATCTCGCCATCGCTCCTCATTGGCCCGAGTCTACGACCATGAATTATCGCAGGATCGGAGACGTTCCCCCAATTATTCTGAGTTTACCTCGGGGGAAATCCCCCCTCGGTCCGCGGTCGTTCCGGTGCTTTACCGGGGCGTCACATCGATGGATTATTATTCACACAATTTTTTCCCCTCCAGTCGAAACCGTGGAGGAACGCGAGCTGGGGAACCTGATGGCTCGGAAGACCTGCTGGTGCATGACCGTCATCGAAGTGCCAATAACTCCATCGGTGACTAGCGGAATGACGGCCACAGTGCATAAGACTCCCGTATTCACCACGACCGTAACCGTGTTCGCGAGCTCTGTCATCGAAACTGTTTTCGAGACGGTTATGAGACCAGACGCCGAGCTGTCATCGAGGAATCCCTCCCAGGAGTCTGCGTGGATACCCGAAAGTATCATCTCACCTTCTTGGCCAGCCAACACGATCGAGAAGAGCGTAGATGCCATGTCCTCGAGCCTATCTCCGATTCTTGTGACCGAATCAGAGAGCATTGTGGTCTCGACCGGAGCCTTCGAGCCTTCGACGACCATCGAAGCTTCTTTTTCGACCGTGTCTCCGTCCGCGGACGATAGCTCCATGGGAGACCCAGCGCCGACCCCAACGTTCGGAGTCACGAACAGCGACTTGAGCTCCCAAGTCATCGATTCATTTTCCGCTCGGAGCGGGGAGCTCGACACGGATAATGATGTTGCCGAAACCACGCCTTCGCCATCTTCTCATTCGACTTGGATTGGAGATTCGTCGCCCTCGGTGGAGGAACAAACCATGTCAATGACCCCAGTCGACTCAGAGATCTCTTCCACGATGACCGCGACAGATCAATCGCTTGTTCCGCCTCTATGGTCTTCGAGCAGCGGAATTTCCAGTGAAGCCAATGTGCTCACACCCTCTCGACCTATCCCGCCGGAATCCGGGATGTACGACCAATCGGAGACTTGGTTACCCACGCCAAGCATTTCCGGTACGTTCGAGGAGTCCAGCGGAATAGGACCCGAGTCGACCCTGATTCCTGACCCATCGTGGGATCCATCGAGCTCCTATTCCCCGGACCCGGGAGACTCTAGATCGTCGCAATCATCGGGACCGGAATTCGTGACCCGTTTCCCTCCTTGGACGAAGTCCATGGGGACTGATGACTCCTCCACAGAAATCACCGCGATCGCCTCACCCACAGGATTCGCGTCACCCACAGAGTACGAATCAGCAGGATTCGGAACGGTTTCGCCAACGGGTTCCGGAGGACACGACTCGACCCTCGTGGAAACATCGACGTTGACTGCGATCCTTGACGATACCCCGTGCGAAACGACGGCGAGCATAGAATCAACCGCCCACGGCACTCTGACGACTGCCTCGGTTCCGTCAGATATCGACACTCCACACGCTTCCGTGGAACCCTCAGCGAGGGACAGTGGGTCAACATCGCCTTCAAGCTGGTTCAATCCATCGGGATCGTTCCCCGAGTCCAAGTCGCAGAGTCCCCATTACGGGTCTGTGAGTTCCTCGATAGCTCCGACTCCGATGATTGAGTCCTCTTTCGTGCTTCCGACCTTGAGTGCAAGCCTGCAGTCCTCACCGGAAATGAAGACACAATCTTTGTTGCCCGGAGACTCGACTTCAAGTGTAAGCTCGCTGCCCGCGAGCACGACAGTTGTCGGGCCATCGTCACGTTCATCGAAGCTGTTGAGCTCGTCAGATTCGGACGGCGTCACTGCAGTTTGGAACCGGACACAGACACCGTCGTCAACGAGCAAAGAATCGCTTTGGACTCGGAGTACAAGAAAACCAATTGTGCCAAGCCGAACAATTGTTCCGGCCAGCTCTGGCTCGCCGCCGTCGACGCCACCGCCTCCTCCGACACCTTCTGACCAAGACTCTCAATACTGGATACAGACGGGTGAGTCCCTCTGACGGTTTTAGGGCTACGCGAGATTCGTGCCTCTCGCCATTTACCTTCGAACCCCAGGCTTCTGCAGAGTCTTTCCAATCGTAATTCCCAGACTCGTGAAGGATGACGAATATCCTGCCCGGTATTACAGAGCTGAAGATCCCGCGCGGAACGAATTCCACGGACACTTCGAAACTCGTTAAAGATCTTGCCTTCATTTACGAGCGTGCCTATGCGGCACACTTCCGAAGGCAGCGTCGCCAGCTGGGCCGGCTGACTCAAATCAAATTGATCTACGTCCGCGCTGATTACAAAGAAAGGAACATGACCCTGGTTTACGTTTTGTATTATTTGAATCGACTTGTGCCCGCTGTTGAAGCAGTCAAGAGGATCCAAGTTGTGCCGCAAGCCGACATGGAAAAATTACTCCGACATGGTGTAATTGTCAAAGCCAAACGTAAGTCATAGAATAAGTCACTCAGAGAATCCGTCGTCTAACTTGGGAGTTTGTGCTGATAACGTATTCGAGATTGAGGGTGGGTGATCCGAGGAGTGGATCGCTCGTTATCTTAGACCTTATCGAAGATGAAGGCTCGATCTTCCCGCAGCTTACGAGCCCAGTAGATCCACGGCTTCGCTTGAGGACAATCGATTCACGAACAAAGCCTACGTGGCCTGGCTCATCGTGTTGATACTACTCCTGCTCCTGCTATTGCTCCTGTGTATCCTCCTCTACTTCTGCATCCGCAATCGCAGTCGACAGAAAGCTAACGTCAAAGATGCTGAAGTATCCAGCTCCTTCAGCAACGGAGAGGGAAAGTTCAGCACAACATCTGGCATGGTGAGTTTTCGGTTTATAAAGGAAAGGCTCAGGAAGAATTTCGCTCGGGAACTCAGTGTTCCCGCTCCTTATACCTTTATTGCCTTGCAGACGATGCCCGGTGAAAGCGTTCGGTCGTACCGAGACGCGGTAACGAGTCCTGTTCACTTTGGAGGCACAGGAACTTATAGGAGGAGCGAGTCGCCGAGATTCTACGAGAATCAGGCGTTCGATTCCGACGAGCCCAGGCTTCGCAAACGTCCGGTGCTCACCCAACACACGTTCGAGGCGACGGTCGAGAGTCAGCCACAGGAGGCAAAGTCCGAGCTAACGCCCCCTGACGTCAAGCCTCGGAAGAGGAAATCCAAAGCAGATAAATCTTCCGACCTCTCCGCATGCCGGGACACAACGATTTTGTGAGTTCAATGGATTCACGACGATTTTTTTCGCTCGCGCTGAGGGCTGTTCCCCGCCTGAGGCTTATCGCCCCAGCAAGTCTCAATTTTTGCTCCCTTCCCTCTAGGAGCAGGATATGTGCAGAACTCGCTAATACAGTTCGTTTGAGCAGGGCCGGAGACATTGAGATTCGTCCAGTAGTCAGCGAGGTCGCGAGTGAAGACGAAACACCCGGACCTTCCGAGGAAGAAATCGAGGAAGCCAGGCGTCAACTGGAATCAATGACAGAGAGATTGAACGCGCTCGTTGATAACAGTCTGACAGTGGAGCAGGCGAAAACGAAACTTCACGGGAGCTACAGACAGAAGTTGCTCATAAGTCGGAAGGACTACAAGCGGTGTAGATCGGCCGACTCAATCGATAAGTACGAGTTCGGACAATTGATATAGGTATCAGAAACCCTTTGCTGAGTTTTACCTCCATCGTGAATCCTATTCATGGACAAGCTACGACAATAATTGTCATCGATCTCTCCAATCATTCTTCCGGACTCGGTTCCGAACGCTTGGCAGAGCTTAACGAAGAGGAGGAACAATCGTTCCCATCATATATTCTCTCGAGCTGAGCAGGGAATTTCATTCCGTTTAAGGATATCGCTTTCCTCTGTGCCGTCTGTCAGCAATCCGATCTTCCGAGATCAGCCAACACAGACGTCTTTCGCGAAGAAAACAACTCCCCCTCATTTTCTGGTGACCATCCACAAGGAAACTGCTGCCAAAGAACGTAGATTACACCAGGAGAGCCATGTGAGTGTCACCCCACCCTTTTCCCTATCCCAGTTCGAGCTCGAAAATCATGTCGTCATCGACTCAATTCCGTGTGATCTCTCTCCGTCGTTACAGAGACGGGTGGTCGAGGAATTTGAGAGCACAAGCCGCGTGACATACCGCGAACCAACGTCACGGGTAATCGAAGCCATCAGACATGAACTGGATCTGGCCCAAGATTTCCCGAAAGAAAGCTTCGCCTGAGGTGTCTCGAATCATTCATCTTCAATCAGTGTGTGAAAAAAGAACGCGATGAGGAAACATTGTAACATGTATCATATCCCTGTATTCAGAGAAATAATTGTATTTGTACATTTTGTGATAAAAATTATCTCCTCTGGAACTTCAGAGGTCTTTCGGTGATCACATTTCTTTGATCCTTTCTCTGAGGACCGGATAACGATCCTTGCGCTTCTCGCGATGTATCTGATCCAGGTCTCCCGAGGGATTTTCCGACACGCGGGAAGACGAAAACTGTGCCTATGTCATACACTCCAAGGAAGAGGCATTCTCTCGCGGGAATACTCCCTGCCCAATTTTATTGCACAATATTTATCGTCAGAAGTATCAATATTTCCATCAGTTCATAGTCTCGTTCGTCTCCACCATGTATCGCTATCCTCTCCGTCGAAGTTAAGTGTGATGGACCACGAACATATTAGCATTCACATTGCACGCAAAGTCCCGTCGAACTCAACCCTCTCAAGGGAATCCATACCCCTTCTGAGCCTCGAGTATGATGATCTGCTGAGCCACACTGCTCGGTACATTTCAGTCGAAAGCGAATTTGTTGGCACTCCCGAGTATTCTGGCTGCACTCGTGAGCTCGCTCGAGGAGCCGGAACTGGCAGGATTCAGATTTTGAACGATACGGCTCAAGCAATCCAGGCTGTTTTGGGCAGATTGATATTGGGAGCTCGGTCGCGCCGACAGCTCCATTATTTCTGTGGACAGGAATATCTTGTTACTGAACCTAATTTTTCCCGAAAATTATCGCCCGTTTTCCACCGGAGCTCCTCAGATCCAGACACTACTTAGTCGTCGTTTCTATCGGTTGTCGCAGCATCCAGAGACTTATAGCTTCGAGTATAATTCCGTCTCTAAGCTACCCGAGGTCCTATTGTTCCGCGTAAATCAGTTGTTCGCGCTTAGTCAGCTAGTGTATGATGAATGACGCGCATGTTGTCGATGAAGCCAGGGGGAGGGGGCGCGGTCGTGCTCGGGGTCCTTGGGTGGCCGCGCGATCACCGCACGGTCGTCACTCGATCGTCATAAGATCGAACGAGTCATTAACTGAACCAACATCAACAACGCTCCGTTACAAATGTCTGGCTCTGCTTAGCCTAATGACTGGAGCGTGTACGCGTGAGACCACACGAGCCAACGGCTAAACGGTCGAGAGCGAGCGCGGAAACTAGAGGGACTGGCCTACGACCCTCGGAGACCCAGGGAAAAGTGACTGAATGATCACAGATGACATGAGCGCTGCTCCTCCTCCATAACAACCGTGACAGATGACCCTGTTGGAAACATCAACAAATAAACCCACCTCAGGATGCATCATTTCCCCCGAGTCAAATCGGAATCCGGAGCAGAACATCGGTCTATTTGGGACCGCAGAGAAATATCCCAAAATGCCTGCGCCTTTCGGGAAACATTGTTAAGAATTCCGGTTTTTCGAGCTCGCTTCAAGCTCCGGTTGAGAGTACAAGATTTCTTCTCGCTTCCGATCGAGTGTCGGAGTGTAGTCAAAGCATTCGTTCCTATGTGGAACCAAGAAGCATTCACTTGAGTAATAAAAAGATCGCACAGGTTAATCGCAGGCGTAACTATCATTGGTTCTGGAGAGTGCTTCCGTACAATGATCTGTGTTGCTCGAGAGACGGTGACAAAAAATCGCAGCGCCGGCTTTCGAGCTGAACTTGGCGGGCGAAGCCAGACACCACCACCAGCACTCACTGCTCAGTTCGGACACGCTCCACGAACGATGGACAACGATGAAATGAGAGAGAGCGAGGGAAAAACCTGAATAGCGAGCTGTCTGTCTGCCTGCCTATCCATCCGTCCTTCTCTTAGCCCGATCGCCAGACTGCACCTTTTCACATGCTCCACGACTGAAAAGACTGTCGCTCTTTGATCTGATAGTGGGAGTTCTCCATTACAGCCGCATTCATCCCAAGGCTTTGATCACACTAGATCTAGAGGTCGGAATAAATTCGAAAACTTCCAGCCTTTTCCCTGCATCGCCCTCGATATCAGAATCGAACTTCCACAACGCCATTCTGTACCCGGCGTGCTTAACGGTGAGCAATGGGTAGTGAGGTTTCGGGTCTCCAACACCAGAGAGCTCGACGGCGGAGCTTTCTCTCCAGATCCTGTCATTTTCGAGCTCTATACAAAAAAGTCGCTTCCTGACACGCTGAGTGTGAACTGATCATAGGAGGAAGCGGCTCCCGGTCCCGAGGTAGGTTACCAACAATAGCGGTGCACAGGGTCTTTCAACACGAGAACACGGTGGAAAAAATGGAGAAAAAACTGCGCACAGAAAACAAGCAGCACCGCGAATTTTAATGAGCGAGTTTGTCTCTCGTCACTTGAGAGCAGCTTGCGTGAGCTAGGAGGCAAGCTCCGGGTGTTTGAACACAAAAGGCTCTCCTCCAAGCCGCGACAGATTCCTCTTCGATTTCCCGTGGGAATTCGGCCGAGGTAAATGGACAAGCATGGAGGATTTTGATTTCGAGATGCCGGGGTTCGGGGCACGTTTTCGAAATCGTCATCCGTTGCTTGAATGATTAAACACTTTTGGGGATTTAGGACCGGTAGCATTCCGAATTCTACGGCAAGGAAGGTGATGTGGACGGGTCTCAGATTTATGACCCGAAACAGAGCTTGTTTTTCTTCCTCCTACATTTTCGTCGACTCGTGAACCTTTATCTTCGATCGGAAGCTCTCTCCGCGACCGAGTGTGTGGCGAGATTGTCGGTCTCGTTGACGCCACCTCTCTCGATGGAACTGTGCGACGAACAACTTTTCGGAATAATATGCGAAAGCCAGCTGCTGCTGCTGCCTCCCTCCCGATTGATTCTTTGATCCTCGACTGGCTTCTGGATTTCGTCTTGAGTTACGACTAGCTCACGCGCCTTATTGACTGTGTTACCGTTCGACACAACCCTCTGACACTAGCGCGGCAGCAGGGCGATTACCAATACGAGCCACCCCTCAGCGTCGCTCTCGAACGACGACTTTTCGTCATATCGAACTCTAATGATTCGTGTCGACAGCACTTGGCAGCGGATCTCAAGCTGTGGAAGGATTACCTACTCGATGGAAGTCACCGTTCCGGGAGGATTCGAAACGAGAGGCGCCTCGGGAGACCCCTAGGCTTTTTTTTTCCGAGGGCACTGTTTTCGGTACCGAGTTTTTCTTCGGTTGTCGCTGTCGCCGTCTTCAGGGTTAGTTTGTCGATCGGTGTCTATCGGTGTGGCTTTGAAGGCAAATGCCTGGTGACAAATGAGATGAAGCGCGGAGGCCATGCCTCACGTCACTCAGCCGGTGCCTGTCCGTTCGTTCGGCTTCCACTCACCTTTGTGATACCTGGCCAGTCTTTGGGAGTCTCTGCTATCTCTTGCCTGGAACGAACATCTTTCTTAGAGCATCTATCGAAAGCTTATATCGGAGACATGTTCACCGCATCTCTGACGGCCTGTCACGATGGCTGACGGCTGGCACTTCTGCGATTGTTACACAAGATGTGCGTTCGTTCATCCGAATACTGCAGAGATCGGTTTCGAGGGTGCTTCGGATCACTTATGGTACTCTTTACTTTCGAACAGGCTCGAGAAGTTTCCTGTCTGCTCGAGCCCGACGCGTCGGCAGCGGGCTAACCCAGTTTCCGATGAGCTCAGTATTCCCCTCGACAACAGGATGACAGAACGAATCAGAGGTATTTTTCCATGCCGGTAGCACGGAAAACAGATCACAGTATTCTGATCTGGAACTCTGACTCGCGTCAATTCCAGAAGAGCTCGGACTCCTACGGTATCGATAAGTAATCGAATAAGTTTCTGTTTCGTGTCATAAAATGAAATACAGAGCTGAGATGAGAGTTTTGATAACTTGACGAGATCAAGAGATTACGAGGCTCTCCGCTCGTTGTTTCCCTCTTTTCCACCCTCCACGGGTATCTGGAAGCTAGGTGACGAATTGTCCATAGAAGCTAAAAGAGGAAATGTTGAAAGACGTCGGGGATTAGACCGACCGACCGGCCGGCCGCCGCTGCCGCTCGACGAAGAGGGAACACCAAAATACAGATAGAGTGGAGGATTAGCTCAACGACCGTGGGATGTAACAAGTCTCAAGAGGGGAGCATTAGTGTCGAACTTATCACTGGCTTTCCCGGGAACTGACTCCTCGGCATGAAACTCATTCCCCGAGCTCTCATTCCATGCTCGCGGTATCCTCAGGGTTACAGAGACCCAAACCGAGCCTGCACCCCCGGTGACAGATCGCGCTTGAACTACAGCGGGACGAGTCAAGGAACCCGCGCACCGTTGTACCAATCGCCCGGTATGGCGGCTCCGAACCAAAAAGATCTCAAGTCAGAACTTGAACTCTCATACGAGCAGGAACGATATCATTTGAGCTCGTCTCCGGAGAATCTCAGCAACTGCGTGATATTAGAGTCGCCGAATCGAAGCGAGCAGCGCGGCGACCCTAAGATTGTGTGAGTGAGACAAGTTCACAGGACGCGGAGGACCTCTCATGAATAGGGTTAATGTTGATGTGTTTCTAACGACATTCCTACCACAAAGCTCTCTAGCGCCGGCATTTCACGGATTCCGGGTTCTCGGCTCCCTTGTTCTCCTCCGAGGGCCACCATGATCGAAGCAGAGAACAAGCGGACCCTTTGATGAGCAGGATTTCACACGGCGGGAAAAGCCTCGAGGTTCGGTGCTTGATACTCGATCCGCGTAAATTGAATCGAGACCCGGCTCTCATCCGGGAATCCTTCCGTGCTCGGACGGAAATTCAACCGCGTGATAAACCAATGAGGCGCGAGGAGTAGCCGAGCCCAGAGGGATATGGAAGCAGAGAGCAGAACAGTGGAATAACTGAATGAAAAAAAGAGGGAAAACAACGAAAGCAAAAGAGGAAAGTTATCCTCGATCAGACAATGCTCGACAGAGAGGATGGTGGTTGGTGATCATCTTCCTGCGATCAAACAAGCGAATGCCAGACTGTCGGGAGGAGAGATCTTCGCCGGAAGGAAGCTTTGATACCTCCAGCGGAACTCCGCAACCTTGACACCGGCTCCCATTGTACCCGATCCAACGAGCTGACGATGAAAGTGGCTCGGGTTTCGAACGGGTTTTCCGGAACTGGTTCCGGATGAACACGTCTGAGCTTCGAGACATCGACGGAACGTAAGCGGATCGTCGCATTCCGCGAATTGAACGTGAGGGAGATCCTAACGGAGATCGACCGCGAATGCCATCCCTTGATCGACAGGGAATAATAATTTCTCGGACTCAGGTGATAATCGGGGTCACTCTCGGGGGAATCGTCCCCTCTATCGGAACCCATCATTACCTGGTGCGAGTCATTACAGCGACGGTTTGACGAAAAAAGAACAAACAGGTAGGCCAGCGAACAGTCCGGGAAGCAAAACTGCAGCCATAGGCTGTAATGGCTTGGATCGACCTCCGACAAAAGGTTTCTAACCCCTTCCCTGACCGAGTGAGAGAGCTATGTACCAACAAACGGCTTGGAGACGCTGCGTCAAAACACAGGACAAGGCCGGCGGGCGCACGAAAGCATGAAGGCTTATCTCAATTAAGTGATCCGTTGGACCTAACTAGAGCTCTGAAAGGCGTGTTTGGTCCACCCATCGACTTTCTCAGGGTGCACCTGCTTTTCTTCGAGAACAAGACAAAATGACAATGACAGGAAACGCTGCAATGGATGATAACGCTGATGACATTTTTCGAGAAGTCGAGAAAAAAAGGGGAACAACGGAATGAGTTATGACGAGCCATAGGAACAATGGACTGCATGGAAACTCCGTCGACCTTGTGCTAGAGTTCAACGTTCCGGACCGGCATCGTATGCCGGTACCTGTCAGCCGGTCTGTTTGTTGTCTGTCTGTTTTTCCGGCGGTCGGTCGGTAGGTTGGGCTCTACGTTCGTTCGTGTCGGCTCTGGAAGCGGAGGCTGCTACCTCACCTGGGAATGGTGCATCCTCTCGACGTTGCCGTCACTCTCCGGACTGGTCTGTCGCTGCTGCAATTTCTGCGCCTGGAGCTCCCTGAATCTTTGCATGGCATTCAGGGTCGCGGTTCCGCTCGCCGCCAGAAGCGTCCCGTGTTTCGTGGTGCTGTGCTGCAGGAGGTCCTCGAGACTCTCGATGTACTCTGTGGAGGGATTCAGGTGAATAATAAACCATCCAAGCTAACTGAGACAATTCCTTCAAGAACCGGCGCCTCGCATTGCTTGGCACGTCAAAAGTCCGTCGACGGGCTCCGCAGATAGGATCCTGAGGGGACCAGAAGTTGGCCGTTGTCGGGTTCGAATCCGACAGAGGATGCCCGAGAATTCTCTTCTATAAGATTATTCTAGATTTCCCTTCTAGGTTACCTATTCTGTGCGAGCGCTGCCCGGAACGATATGAAGTCCCTCGGAAATTGACGAAGGAATCGTCAAGTTCGCGGGCGATCAGTATGAAAATCGAGATTCGAAGCTGGGCGGAGCTCCGTGGAGCGAACTCTCTGTCTTATCGAGAATATCGTCTCACCGATTGCATTTCTGAGGATTTCCACTTTCGGCAGGCGCTGATTGGGGTTCGCTGAGGTTCTTCGCTTCAAGAGTTCGAAAGCTTCATTGACTTTCCGAAGTCTTCGACGTTCACGGAGAGTCGCAGCTTTTCTTCTATCGACGCTGACCGATCTGCGTTTGCATGCCTTACAGGCCCAGACTAAACACGCACCTCGACTGTTGCATTGTGGCGCGTAGTCTTGACTGGATGACGACTCTGGAAGTTTCGACGAAGGTTAAAATCCCAATGCACCTCAGCATGATTCCCTCGACGTCAACTATTCATCCATTTATGAGGGATTCGTACATCCGTGCGGGCGGGTGGGATTGGACGTTCTATTAGAAAACATCCCGCGCAACGATGAGTAAACCGCGGAGAGCGGCTCCGGGCCGCGGCCTAGGAGCTATACGACGTCAAAAGATGACGTCGGCGGTAGGTTCCGGGGGAAAGATTAAGCGTTCTTGCGCTCGTCGCGTGAGCTCTCTAAGGGCTTCTGGATAGATACTCCTCCATTATTCCGTAACAGAGTCGCGCTCTCCTCGAGGAGAAACGGTCAGTCTCTGCCTGAGGCAGAGCGGATGATCTGACTCAGTCAGAGTGAAGTTTTCGCTTGATACCTGTCGCAGAGAATGAGACGAACAGTTGAGCAGGCGGGAGAATGCGGGGTGGAAATAGATGAATGGATAGAAGACGAGGAATAGAGAGACCAAGATACGGGGCGGACCAGAGAAGCGGCGATCGGCCGGGTGGTCGGTAGCTCGGTCACATCTTCGCTCACTCTATAAAAAATGAGCCGGACCCGATTCAGAAAGTTCCACTCTGAAGCCGATCTCCGAATCGGCTGACGCCCGAATCTGCTATGGTTTGAGTAGCGCGCGCGCCTCGATTGACCTTCGAGGGCGCTGCGAGCAATGGACTCAAACTGGATGCCCCATGAGGCTCAATGTAGATGATCCAGATTGCTGTGATTCAGAACGGCCTTGTGAAGGGTGAAGGCTCCTCAGGTTCGAGACAGGCAGTTTCACGCTGAAGTTCATGACCGAGATCGGTTCTGACCATCGGTCGCCGCTGGAACTGTGTCGAGAGCGGAGCTGCCGAGGTCCACATCAAAGCCTCAGAGCTCGTGAGCTTCGAAGACGGTGAGGATTGGATCCATCAACGACACTACGATGGAGACGGTGCCCTCGCACGAGAATGAAAAGATGCGTTGGTCGCTCGCGGGCTAGGGGGAGCAGCCTGCGAGTGAGCATTCGAGCGGCTGGAAGACACATACCCTCCTCTACCAGCCACCGGCGTTCCCGTACGCGGGATTTGTCTTCCTACTCTCGTCTCGTTCCGATTGATTTGATGATAGGTAGCATTCAAAATACGCTACCAAGAGTTGTGAACGGTCGTTGGCTGTTCGAGTGATCCTCCACAGAAAGTCCGAGAGGCCAGAAAAATGCCGTGAATGTCCGAGAAAAATTCCGTACTAGATTCCCAGCCTTTTTGATAGGGCACATCCCTCTACCCATCTGCATGAGCCATCTGCACTCGGGGGAGCGTTCCGTATCTCAATTGATAGACTCCCTCTGCGTGCAACTTCCGCTTTTGAAAACCCGAGAAGATTATAGGTACCTACATATTGGGCTCGAGAATCTTGGGGTTGATGCTGGCAAAACTCTTCGAAGCTGTCACGAGCCGTTCTTTCTCACGATACCTTATACTATGGGGGCAGTAAGTCGAAAACCTCGATCGAGTTTCTCGTTGTGGATCTCTAGAGTCTGTGTCCGCCAATGCCTGACGTCTGATTTCCGAAAAATGGAACAGATTCAGCGACGTATTAAGACGGGGGCATCGCGGTCGATATTTCTCTCAGCATCGAGATTACTTCCGCTACGAAGTCGCCTTTCAGAGCTGGATATCGGAAGCTTCCCCCCGTGGAGAATATGATCCCGGTGGAGCGTGTACGTCATCGCGCTTTCGACTCGTCTGTAGCGGGTATCCGTGAGAGGGAGATGGTATCTGCTACTCGCTTGGGAGACCGCCTTCGGGATCTGTGGATTCTTAGCACCTTGTAGTTTCCGGAGGACACACTCCAAGACCACGGTGAGCTTCCCCATCAGATGCTCCGAAGGCTCGTGCAGAATGCTGAGACTTTCGACCTCTCCACAGCTGCGAAGCCCAGCTCTCCACCGGCCGATCGGCTTGGAGCGACGGCGCCGAATTCCGTGAAACACACCGCTTGATTCCGGAGCTCCGACCACGACTGCAGGGGGATCGCTCCTGGAAGGGCTTTTGATTCCTCCCAGGGGACGTAAATTATGAGATCAAAGTCGGCACACGCGTTTGTATCTCCGCAGCCTCATCGCCGAGAACTTCCGTGAAAACCGTTGCGAAGATCCCTGCCGAGCGGATTCCCTCGGTGGAAAATTGCAGTGTTGGAGTTCACGGGATACGTCAGGATCGGCTCGCATCGTACGTCATAAGCATGATCATCCTTCGATTGGAGATCCATCCGTGCCTCTCGATCACAAGCACCCGCGAAGCCAAAGTATCCGCGCATGACCTGCGAGTCTTCTGGGTACGCGCGGTTGAATGAACCCTGAAGAGCTCGAGGATACGACCGATAAAGAGCCGCTTGGTCAGGGCGGTCTGCACGCCAAATGCAGATATGTACGTACAGGTACGTATGTATCACACAGTACGAAGCACATCGACGCGGTGAGGTGCGGAAGGTTGCCGATTACGATCAGGCGGCCGGACAGCCCCTATGGAGACCGAGTATGGTGTCTCTCACGGGAACTTCGCGGAGGGAGAGCCCTCCAATGTTAAGTCTTTCGCCGCATTACAGACTCTGGGCCCGTAGGAAGCATCGAAAGATGCCCCTTCAGTGATTGAGCGAAGACTTTTCTCCCCCAATCACCGAAGATTTTCGGAGGGTCACGATAAATTAGCGTCCTTCCTATCCTAATAACCGGCGGTCCAAGTACAAGAGGTCCAAATACCTTGATCGGTGAGTTCGTCATCATCGTCGTAATCTTGGCTGGTCGAGGATTCTGGGCTATTCTGAAGGTTCGAGTAGGTTTCTCGACCCGTCTCCGGAACAGGGTACGCATTCTGATAGTAATAGTCGTAGGGCTCCATGCCGTGGGCAAGCATTCTAAACAAATTCTCTTGAGCTAACACAAACGCACAGCCCGGACCCTAGGCCCGATCAATCGTGAGTAACTGGAAAAAGCAGGGGAGTGTCTAGAAGGAGGCCGTCCGACTAGAACTCCTCCCTGCCTGTTGAGACCTACCCTGAGCGCGTTCGGTGCGGCAAGCTCCCGCATTCGCTCGCCGGGCGCAGAAGGTTTCGACGTCGAATAGACTCCATCTCCGTTAGATCCTCTTTGGCGTTGGGAGAATATGAAGCGATTCCCAAGCATGGGAAACGACGCTCGTTGCCATTGAAGGCATCGAGGAATTCGCAGCGCCTACAAGCGGGGAGTAGAACCGTTTCTCCGGGAAAAGACAACATCTCCGAACGCGGTAGAGCATAATAATACGATGACGTTCTGCATGATTCTTCCCTCGCTCGATACTCCGGAGTACCTACCACGTGACTTGCATACCTTACGGGAGCTCTATTGTGATATTCCCGAGTCTAGATTGGTCCCCGCGAATTTTCCGTCTCATCTTGATAAGAAAGTTCCCTGTTCCCATTGGTCTTTCTGGAGAACTTCTAGGCGTTGGAACCTTGAAAACGAGATTTGGACATTCCTCCCGAGAACAAGGCGAGTGGGTGGATGAATTGTCTCGATGATTGGTCGTAGAGGGTCGTGGCGAGACACGACTTCCTAAATTGTTGCTGAGACGGGGAAATCGTAAATTGTCCAAAATAAACACGCTCTTCGCGAAGCTTCATCGCATCCCTCGCCAGAGACAATGGTCGTTCACCGATGTGTAGAGGTCGGTCCACCTCCGGCTGTACGAAAATAGTTAAATGTTGATGCATCACGATTCGTTCACCTATACGTTTCCCTGGTGGGGGATTCCACTTCAGGGGACAGTACGGATCTCTGACAGAAATGAGGGTCGCAGGAATGACAGGACCCGCGAAGCTGTCCAGGGCACGTACGGAATCAGCGTCATGAGCGAGGCAGTTCTCCCGTCAATCAAGATTGTTTCCGCGCTAGTTGGTTCCGGGTCGGACGGGAGATATGCGGAGCCGGTCCTCGTTTCACCGAAAGGGGGTGAAAAAATTATTTATTCGGAACTTCACCACAGCAAAAGCTCCGAGCTTGGGTCGGGGAAACAATTGAAGAGAGGACTCGAGTCTCTCCAGAATCATCTGTGAGCTATTCGGTGAGGGTTGCGTTGACGCCCCCTGCGCTCCGGTGCTTTGGAAGGACGGCTTTTCCCTCGTTGTACTACAGCTTCGGCGTGATTTCTGGGGAGAGCGATGAGAGCATTCGCGTGGCTCGAGCGTGAGGCTCCGCTCAGGAGAATCGCCGGGGTAGAATCAGAATGATTTTTAAGCGGACCATAGACCTTCACCGGCTCTCCAAAGAGTAGGATTCTTAGATCTAGAGCAGAGCATTTCGAATCGAGAGAGGACTTGTTTCGAGAGGCGAGTATTTCAGGTGAATTTCACGGCTCTCCATTTGGGTGCTTGCCATATCGAATGTTCTCGAGGTCAACCGAGTTTTTCTCTTGCATCTCCGCTGATCCCAGCCATGCCGCTGTCGATCGCGCCGAGAGAAGAATCAAAGAGGAAAGAAATTACGAGCTCGGCACAAAGCCGAGATCATGTGCTCGAGATCAACTCGTGAAAAGAGAGAGAGGGTTTGGGCCCGGAGGAGAGAGTCGAGAAATGAGGAAAGGGTGTAGTAGCACTTCAGAATCGAGCAGCACGGACCGAGAGTGCACTCCTCGAAGGCCCTCAGAATTGAGATTAATGGCAATCGCTCGCTCGCGCGCGCCAGTTCACGCGCTCTGAACCAAAGCGACTCCGTTCAGATATTGTTCTCAGAAATCGCTCTGGTGACCTTCGACGGCTTAAATCATTCAGGAATTCGACATCCTCGATGTTATTCCGTTGAGCTCCCCGTCGACGATTTGACTGTTTTCGCAAGAAAATTCCGGGAAAGATCGTAATTTCGTGGACGATCCTTCAACCTCCCGTTGGAGAGGTTTCTTAGTCTTGGAGAGGCATAATAGTAGGAAGAAGGCAATCCATAACCATTGGCAATCCATTGCTCGTGGACTGATCACCGGGTCTGCAAAGTTTGGACAAAGTCACGCCTCTGTTAAGGCGGTTGTTTGCGAACGAAGAGCACGGAGGGAGGCCTCGATCCGGCGAGATATGATCCTCAAAGACGATTTCAGAGCTCCACTTGTGTGTACTGTCAAAATACGCTTTAAGCTGTTTGAGCTGAAAACACGTGACGAAGTCTAGCAGAGACACATTAGGCTCAAGATAAGTCTTGGGCGCTCGCCCCGCTCTCGAGATCAAGTTAGTGATTGAGGGTCGAAAAGAGCCTGTTCGGCCGCACCCTGTTCTGGATGGTATCGATGTTCGAGAGCTTGAAGCGATGGCGTACAATGATTGTTCTTGGAAAAAGGCTCAGTAACACAGTCGTAGAGTGAAAATAGGCTCCACGTCATTTATCCGATTCGCGCGATGAGGGGGTATTCCTTTTTCGATCTCCGACATGGCGGGGAGTTCCTTCCCCCCGCATAGCGTACATCGAGACGGCGCATCCACGCCCCAAAGAGAAGGGTCCCGGATCCGCGCGTAGATTCTTCCTCCGGTTAAGCTCCTGCGACTTGTTCACGGAACTCGAGTACCTGTATTCAGCCGAGGATTGTCAGTGTTATTATTCCAATGAGCGAGCACGGAATCGTGTAACAGAGGGCTTCAATGACTGCATTGAAATTATTATCGCGACCACCGATGGCTTTTTATGCAGCCGGAGAAGAATCATCCGCAGGTCCCTCGGAGAGTGTAAATTCTGTTTTTAGATTCCAAAAAACAAAGGATCGATAGAGGTTTTGGTTTATGAGCGACTTTTCAGGTGAATTTCACGGGTACTCCCGAGTCTGCATAACGGAATATTTTCGAGGTCGATTTTTTTCGTCGACTCGTTCGCTGCTCCCGATTGTGAGCTTCGCATTGCGCCACCAGAAGAGTCAGAGAGGAGAGCATTCGGGGGAAAGCTCCGACTCTGACCCAGAACTGAGAACATGTGCCATTGGAAAGAAAGAGAGAGTTCAGGCCCGGGGAGAGGATTCAGTAATTGCGAAAGGATGTAGCAGTACTTCAGATCGTAGCCTTACAGGCTCTGAGTGAGAGCTCTCCAGTGGACTCGCAGCGAAGAGATTAATGGCATTCGCTCGCGCGTGCTCGCTTCGAAGTAAAAAGACACTGTTAATCTACTGCGCCTTGAGGTCGCTCCTCTGACCTTCGACGGCGTTAATCTTTTGGAAATTCAAGTTGCCCGTTCGATCCGCGGTCATGCTCTCGAGCCCTATTCAGGTGTGAGTACTGGACTCTCGGGGAACTCGGAATAAATTAGGGAACTTGGATTTTGCGAAGTATGAGACGAAGCATTGTTGAGTAGAGAGACTTCGAATACGATCGAAGCGATCGACCTTCACAGCTTCGTTGCGTACCCAAACCGAAGATCAGACGACGTGTCCGCGGCATCTGCCGCGGTCTGAAAGTCTATCACCGTCTCGGCATGGCTCGAATCTGACTCCGGCGTATAAATACAAACATCAAACGTTATGTTCTACCAGGTAGGATATTCTCCCAGGACTTTTGCAAATACATAATCATTTTCAGGAACGCAAGATTTGGAATGACTATTCTCTAGCTCAGGGACCTGGCGTCGTTCACAGAAAGTGTCAAGTTTCGAATATCTTGAGCGCCATTGATCACGGAAAATCCTATTTCTGTCGGAGCCTATCCACGCTCCGGGAGTTGAGCTCCTCAATCTGTTTCTCGGCGCCTCGATAACGGGCTTTCATTCCCTGCGCAGAGGAAGTGTAGAAGCGAAGAACGGTGTATGAAGGAATGGAGAGGACTGAGAGCCAAGGAAGAGTCAGGAAAAGTGATAACTCGGCATGAGAGCGGGAGATGATACTGGAATACAGCGAATTCGTGTATCCTCAACATGTCGATTATTCGACCCTTTCGATGAACATCTTTCGGGATAAGTCTCATTGCTTCTATACTTGAGCAAGACGGCAGCTTGAATGGGAGGGTCAAAGCGAGGTCCGAGAAGATTTGCTCCACAAACTGATAGCTCAGTGGTTAGAGAGGCCTGTACGGCATGGGTATGCCCGTGTGTCACAGCGGCGCTTTCGTGTGTGGTAGGTGACGATTTGGGATTCGCCTACAGGGTACTCCCGTAGGCGGAACTCCTGTAGGATGCCTCCGGAAACCGAAGGCGATATCATCTTCGAGAGGCTCATGCGTCCCGTTTCTTTCGGCGAATGTCCGGGTGGACTCCTTGGGCCAGTGCGAAAGATCTGTACGAGCCGTGGCGGACGATCGCAAAGAGGAGATAATCAAAAACTAGAGATATGTCATCGATCATTCACCATTGTTCAATCATTTCGACCGCCATTGCTGCTCCAAGCCACGGGTGAGATATAACAATCGAAATGGTTTGCGGAACTAACGATGGCCGGCGATAGTTACTCGCATCCAACTCCCTGTATCCTCCTGACCAGACTTTGCGGACAGATGGTGTGACCTCTCCGTGAGTCATGCGAGACTGTGGTAGGTACAGGACGCTGAGCTGACCGATACACAGCCGATAGCGTCGGCCTGTCTCCTCGTTCCGAATATCCAGGGGTATCGGTTCATAAAATGTTCGGCTACTACTCGATCTTGGACCTGTTTCCCCGTCGAGAAACTCTACCATCTTAGTCTTGGTTCCATAAATGGGAGAGACGGAAAGCCAGAGACTGCCGCAGACAAGAAACCGTCAGCGGAATCCCGCGAGGAATATGCAGCTCGTGGATGACCGAGCAACATCATTGCATTGCCGCTCGTGGGTCTCGCGTGGATTTCTCTCACAAAAAACATCGCGGACCGAGCGAAAAAATGTGTGGGCACAGTCTTATGTGAGCTCGAACGCTCCCCAACTTCTCCCCCGATTCCCCCGGGCGCCTTGTCCCCAATCCGAATCAAAAGACGACAAAAAAAATCCCAAAGTCGCGCGCGCGCCTGCCAGGTGAACCAGTGTAGGTCAAAGCTCCCTCTCGCTCTTAGTCGGTCGGTCCGAGCAACAACTGTCGAGTTTTGGAGCTCGAAGAGATCGAGTTTTTCAGCTGCATATTATCACCCTGTTCTCGCGCAAATCTTGAGCGAAAGCAAAAACTTTTTCTTGATGTACTTTTTCTCGTCGGTCGGTTTTTGTTAACAACGTATGCATCTGAGATCCGAGTAGCTTTCAAACTTGTCATGCACCATCATTTTTTGCCACATCGCGGATCGCGTACGACCGCGCTCTGTGACTAGTGATCGAGTCATGGAAATTAGCTTAGGTAGAGTCCCCGATTTTCCGTCAGAGAGAGAGATCATCGTGTTGGGAGAATCGCCTCGGAGGAAACAATTAATTATTGAGGTTTCTGGAAATGAAAATAATTCCCTCGGGAAGCTACGGCAAATGACGATTTGAAATCAGTGAGCCCTCGTCTCCCCTGTTTATACGACTCCGGATCCGCAAGCCCCCATCTTGTCCGAATTGGAACAGAACTCGCAGTGGCTGTCACTGCAGTGGAATCCGGATTTTCGGTGTTAGATTCAGAGGCGGTCGCGTTGAAGGGCGAGTTTCGGTCGTGAACTCACGAAATGTGGACCGAGTGCTCGTTGGTCCACCCTCATCATCCTACGATAGCAGCGCCCTCACGCATAAGAACTCCACATAAAAAGCATCAACTCTCTGCCTGGGCTCTCTCTAAAACCTCCTCTCCGCCACGGGCCGCCATCTTTATTTTGCTATTTTTTGTGCTACCAGGGCTGCTCTATCCTCCATGCTCCGCGAACCTACGGTCCGCGAGCTCACAGTCCGCGCTAGACTCTTGCCGTCGAAGCCTCGGTGAAGTTCGTCTTCACACCAGGAGCCAGCATGTTGGAGCTCCGTTAAGCTCCGGGAACTACGGGTAAGTGAAACACCGGGGCCGTGGCCGCGGTGCCCACAGTAGTCCGAGAATCTGCTCATGCGAGCCTTCTCTCCCCGGAGAGAAATTGACAGTCCGCGCGAAAGCTTCCTCCGCTCGGGAAGAACTTCTCGGGCTTCTCGCGACGAACTTCGAGGAGGTTTCCGACGCAGGTCAGCGTAGATCTATGAGCGTGACTCGATCGGAGGTCACGTGTGTTGTCATCGAGTTCTTCGTGAGAGCTTGGACACCGGTGACGTATTTCTGCACGGAGTGTTGACGCAAAAGGACCTTCGAGTGGAACGTACCACTCTGATCTTCTATCTTGCCACTCTCAAGGCAGAACCTCGACCTCAAGTTGACGCGGTGCCAAGACCAAAGTGCAATAATGTAGGACTGCTGGGGATGAATGCAAGGGGGTCGAGACGGGGGGAGTAGTCGGCTAGCTGCGGGGTGGGCGAGACGGGGGAGACGCAGTAGGCTTGAGTCATCGTTGGTCTATTTGGCTCCCCCGACAGACAGCGCGTGTCTCCGCATCTGTGACCCGAGCCGACCCCCAATCCACCCACTGGCTCTGGGTATTTTCAGAGAAGAAAATCCCCCATTTCAAGGTCTCGCCAACGGCCGACTGCGGGGGATGTACGAAGCTGCCTATCGACAACGACGACGACCATCACGAGAAGGGGTTGCAGTGCAGCGGGGAGCTCATGTTCGCAGCGAGACATTCAAGTCGTCATGTGTTCAGTTCCAGCACCGCCATCGGTATGTCGTTACCGATGCAGTTGCCGTCACAGAAACTCGGCCCGCTGCATCCTCTGCGGGTCGGCACCAGTTTCTTGACGTGCTCTTCGTGCTTCGACAGCAACGGCGGACTCCCGAAAGTATTCCCATGTTCCCACACTGTGTGCACGAAGTGTCTCCAGGAGTCGGGCCCATTCCAATGCCCACAATGCAACAAACTCGACCTGTCGGGCTTGAATCTGGGCTCGGTGGCGCGGTTTCGCGACGTTCTGCCCATCTGCTCGTCTTGCGACGACCGGAATCCGGCCAAAGGTCGATGTCGGGAATGTAATAATGAGCTGCTCTGTGAAAACTGCATCAACGCTCATCAGAGAGTCAGACTCACGCGAGACCATACCATCGTCCGCTTCGCACCATCGCCATCGTTGGTAAGGACGCTAGCGAGCCATAATAGTCGTGATATAAGATGTACAATAATTGATAATTATCACCTATTATAGTTATTTATATTTATTGATATACCATTTAATCATTCATGTGGTTATGAGAAATGGATAAATTGTGAACAAACCGTAGAAGCACCCATTGTCGAGTCAAGAAACCTGCGTTGGTGTCAGATCCGAGCCTAGGGGAGCAGGTCTCTGCCTCGGCGCAGAACTCATGCAGAGGCTCCTCATTTCGATTGAATTCCAGGAGTTGAAGAATTACATTCCGCGGAGTTGTGCTGAGCACAATGAAGCTCTCTTCGTTTACTGCGATACTTGCGAGAAACCCCTCTGTGGGAAATGCACGGAAATGCACAAAGGCCATAGTCTCCAGCACATACGCGACGCGATCGACAGCGGCAGAAGCTACATCGAACGCTCGCTGAAAGATACCGAGTCAAAACTCAAAGTACTCCAGGAGGGTCTGATCAACAATCAAAGCATGGCAAAACGTATCGAGCAGAAAACGCACGACGTCGCCTCACAAATCCGCATCGCGATCCGACGGTAAGCTCATCTGCTCGCGGTAAGCCTCCAAGGGGAGGTCAGCCTTCATTGCGAGGTTCCTTTAGACATCAATCGATCCATTTTCTCTCACTCCTACACATTTCGAACGGATTCGAACGCTTTCCGACGAGGTGGAGCTCGGAGAGAGCGTGAACAAGTTTCTCCCGGAGCGTGGGGACGTGGAGGATGTGATCTTCGGTGCGAGAAGTCATTTCTTTTCACAGGCAACTATCATCTCTCGAAGAACGCGAGAAAGAGCTCCTGTCAAAAGTAGAAACAATCCGTCTCCTTAAGGGTAATCTTCTGAAGGCCCAGGTGGATCAGATCGGCAAAGCGACCCGAGAGCTGAACGGGCACGCGCGCGCACTTCGTGACTTCCTGAACTCGGCGAACGACCTCGATTTCATCAAGGCCAAGAAAGTTCTACCTATGAGTCCCGTTCGCACTGGTAAGTTAATTATTATTCGTCGCTCCGTCTGCAGCCGCTGCTGTTGCTGCTGCTCTCCGGTCAGGAATCATTTCTCTCAGTCCGCGACCCCTCGTCGTTGTGTCTCTCTCTAGTCCATAAACTATAGCAGCTCGTCTATTCGTCCGAAATTTTTGGCGAAAACAAACTCAATTTGGAGGCCTGGTTCCGCATGACCGCACTCAACAGCTAGAATATTAACGCGAGCTCTCCGCTCCCGCGCAGTTTGGTCAACTCCGTTCGAGGATGATCGCATAGACTTCACGATCGCCGACATCCCGCTCCTCAACAATCTGGGATACATCTCAACAGCGAGTTTTCCCATGTACTGTAAAGTATTTGGGGAGGCCCTGAAAGGCGCGGTCGTCGGCCAGGTACGCTTTCGAATGGACAAATCGAACTGGGCTCATTGTCTGTTGATGATATGCGAGCCGAAACAATCGGTCCTCCTAAGTGAGGCAGGAGCGTTTCCCTTGAAAATAAGACTCGATATTTTTTCAGAGCGCAACTTTCAAAGTTGAGGCTCATAATCACCTGAACGAGAAAACAATGGTCGGCGGAGAGCACTTCACTGTCAGCATCACGACGCCTCAGGGTTTCATGCAGAAAGTTGACACGACAGATCATCGAGACGGCAGCTATTCGTTCTCATATCGGCCCTGCACAGAGGGTGTGCACGAAATCAGCCTCACCCTCCGAGGAGCGGCCGTAGCCTCGTCCCCGTACAAGATCAACGTCCGATTGGGTCGATTCTATGAGAATCTTCCCAATGAGCAGCCTTCGGTCGTTTTCGGAGGCGAGGGCGTGCGCGAAGGCGACCTCTGTAGACCCTGGGGTGTCTGCGTCGATCAGGCCGGTCGAGTCGTGGTCGCTGATCGCTCCAACAACCGCATTCAGGTGAGAGAGCTCTGGTCTAATAGTACAGGGGAGAGAATTTCAATCTATCCATCTATCCATCTGGCCCATTCTTCCTTGTTCTGCCAAGCTCTTGAGTCCTCTCTGGCAGGACGCCGCGAAACCTTTACCCTTTATTTTGAGTGAAGTTATCGAACTTCCAGGAGAACTTTTTTGAGCCCCACGAATAGCTCGACAGTACTCCTTACTCTGAAGACTTCGATCTGAAACACACGCGAAAATTCCTTGACGTCTCCCTTTTGTTTTCGAAATAGACGCGATATTTATGGCACGAATATCGGGCCTCTTCTTCTGTCAATACGATGACTGAATCGAGTCTTAGTCTTTGGGTCACGCCCCGGCTCCGGGGCGGCAATGAGATGAGCATTGCGAGTCTTCATCTCGTGGTCACTCGCTCATTCCCGTTTTGATCCCCCACAGATTTTCAATCCAGACGGAACGTTCCACATGAGCTTCGGATCTGCAGGATCGCAACCCGGACAGTTCGATCGTCCGGCAGGAGTCGCAATGGACTCCACCGGTCGGATCATCGTTGCTGACAAAGACAACCACCGAATTCAGGTTCGTCGGTTCGAATCGATAGCCACACCAATTATTATTCTCGTCGAGAATCACAGGGACGATTCCTCCGTCCGCTCGGTATTCCACCGTACAAGGAAATCACTCGGGAAACCCACTCTGTCGGTTGATGCAGATCGGAGTCGGGAATTTCCCACCATGAAACCAACGATTCCAGGTGTTCAGCAGCCGCGGCGAGTTTATTTTGAAGTTCGGTGAACGGGGGTCCAAAATAGGCCAATTCAACTATCCTTGGGACGTAGCAGTGAACTCCGACAATAACATCCTGGTGTCTGACACTCGAAATCACAGAGTTCAGCTATTCAGTCCGGATGGGGTCTTTCTGAACAAGTACGGATTCGAAGGAGCTCTATGGAAGCAATTCGATTCGCCGCGAGGAGTCGCCTTCGATCATCAAGGTTGGTATACAAACTCGATTTTCGATGAGTACTCCGAGTACACGTGTGTCTGTGATGTCAGCGAGATTATTTGTCTGGGGTTCCGAAAAAGAGCAATCCCACATTAGGGGAACGTCTCAGCTGAGATCTTGATCATCATCAATCATCATATCACCCAGAATATGGTTCGATAGCTGTTGATCGGCACAATATTTCATGTGGTGTCCGCAGAAGTGATCGTTCACAACGCTTTATCGAATCACACGTTGGACCTCTGATCGGTTGTCCGCGAGAGCGACCGAGTGGCCGAGTGGCCAGCCGGTCCCCCGTACTCGCTCGGGTCAACGTGAACGTGAAACATTCATGGACACGCCTCCGTCGTTTTTAGCTGCGGACTGCCTTCACGCTCTGATTAGGCAGAAGACAGTCGATGACTCACCACTGAGAACGACTTTTAGAGGTAGTCTGATGCAGGCGCAATCGGAATGCCAACCGGGCCCTTGCCTCGATCCGACCTAAGGACCAGATTCTTCCGTCCTGAATATCTCTGAGAAAGAATTGCGAAGAGTTAGCATCAGCTCGTACCGTGAGAAGTAACTCTCCATCCCCGAGCATTGATCGCTCGACCGTCTCCGAGAAACCCTCGGGGAAGCGAGAAAGAAAAAAATCGTCTCAAACGCTCTGGTGAATGTCGCTACTGCAACTTCTGGTGTGAGAAGTTAAACACTGGCTCATGAGAAAAAAAATCTATTGCATTGAGCGCTCGATACACATCCAAGAATTGTTTTCCGAAACGTTTACTCGTTAAGATTTTTTCCACTGCGCAGTGATTTGTTTTCTTCTCAAAGTCCCTCGCATTTTCCGAAAAAGGAGCAATGAAAAAAAGGAGCAATGAAAAAAACAAGCACTCGCATGAGTGCCGAAAGAGGAGGAGAAAAACCACACAACAACGTTTATTTCGGTGGACGGAGGAAAGCTCGGATGAAAAACGCTCCATAACGAATTACTTCCTTGGCTCGTCCACGGCAAGCCGTTCGAAGGTCGAACGGAAGACCGATGGCACGTTCTGTTCGCGCATGACTGACATGCCGGCGAAGACGTGATTGAATCGAACGGATTCTCGACCTCGTCTCCCTGCAAACGGTTTCGAAGCAAGTTATCTCCATTCTCCGAGTCTTCCGAGAGAGCGTGATCAGCGACGGGGAGCATCATTCTCAATGAATTTCCTCTCCAGGTAACATGGTAGTGACCGACTTCAACAATCATCGCATCGTGGTGATCCGTAACGACTTCCACAGCGCTCAGTTCCTGGGTTACGAAGGCACCGGCAACGGTGAATTCACACGACCTCAAGGAGTCGCTGTGGACTCGGAGGGCCACATCATCGTATCGGATTCGCGGAATCATCGGGTGCAGGTTTTCCGTCCGGACGGGACGTTTTTGTGTGCCTTCGGAGAGCCAGGCGTGGAGCCCGGTCAGATGGATCGCCCTGCTGGGGTTGCGATTTCCCCCGAAGGTAGAGTAGTTGTCGTGGACTTCGGCAATCATCGGGTTCAGATTTTTTGAGTGACCATTCAGGAGAAAAATGATTTGAGCGCTTGATCGAGTCGATGGAGCTCCCCATCAGCTGAAACTCTTCCGGAAGTTGAAAGAGGACCATCGACACCGACGGCGGAATCCTCAAGAAGTATTCTCGCAGCACCTCTGAGGTGCTGGGAAGGCAGACTAGTCGGGTCGAAATAAGAACGACAGCATGATTATTGTACCTATATCATCATTACATCCGATAGCGTGATCTCTAGTCGAAGACGGAAACAATGGAGAGCGGTGACGTCTTAAAAGGCTCGAAAGGTCCCGGACCTTTCAGTGCAAACCGTGTTCGGTGAAAGTTCCTATGAACTGAAGTTCCTATTAGATAGCCAGAGATCAATCGCGTGTCTCCGAGTATGCCTTCAGCCGAGGGTCATCGCTGGGTCGCGAGAGGATACTCATTAGGTAGGATGAAGGGGGCGAGCTTTTCGGATATCAACTTCGGAAACGAGGTCAATTGACCGCTACGGATATTTACGAACTCTCTAAATACTTCCCGAATCGATCTGTGGACGAAGGACAAAACCGGAAACCTTCAGATTAGTACACTATGATACCCTTCGAGTATTCCGATTCAGGATCAGGATCTCCGGGAACTCTTGAAATTTCAAGCAAGGAAAAGCTGCCCCTCTCGTCCAACATAGTCCTCCTCCTGTATTACGATGTACGTACACATGTATTATTATCATCGTGAGTTTGTCTCCATGAACGAGACGAAGAAATCGCAGCAAAAACCAAAGAGTGCATGAGACTGCAACTAGTTCCACGTTAAGGGAGTCAGGTCGTTGACGACAGCGACTTGATGGAGACTATACACGTGAGCTACCTCATCATCAAAATATTTCCCAATTTTCCCAATCCACTAGTTCCTATATTCCCGCTTTGCCCTCACAGAGATTCCTACTGCTAGTCAGCTTCTACACGATAAGTTCTAATAATCTATACTGATACCACCGGTGTTACGCAAGACGTTGTATTGAAGATTGTGTGGGTGTTCCCAGAAAGAAACGTCGGCTCAGTAGATGACATTAGTTCCCTTCTCCGCCGAGATTCAGTCCAATGAGAGTCCCTCACTTGCCAAACCACTCGTTCAATTCATCCCCATGCCTGATTTCACAGCCAGTTCACATGATTATCGTAGAAGAATAGAATGAGTCATCTAATGCAAAGATCTATATTTCTATCTATGTATTCCCACCCATGATGGGTGGCTAATTTAACGAAGCCACAAGCTGAATTCGATATCAGGAAACTCAGGGAAGGCTCTCCGCGGACTCGACGTAGCACCAGGCTGTCGGGAGATTTCCGGGTGACTCTACGACGTGCCGGCTCGACCGCCACGAAGACGTCACTCTGACGCAGCTTCGGAGCGTCTCTCTTCTTTTCTGAATGAGTGATGGGAATCCCCGTATGAGCACTTCGGCCGCGGTCGCTCCAATCATAGCGGGAAAACCAAACTCTGTCAGTGAGTGAAAATCTATGTCATTCCAGAAGGATCGCCGAAAACCTATGATGGTTTTTGGGTCAACATTCGGTGGAGAGCTTTTATGAACTAGTCACAACCTTTGCATACGCTCTCCCACGACGGTACGTCAAACTTTTTCTCGGGGATAATGATCTGGAATCAAACCTCAAACATCTATATTTTTCTCGGAAAAATCCTAGAGACGGCTCCACGGAAGGATTAATTAGCAAGTGTCGAATCTAAGCGCCGTCACAGTAAAGGGGGAAAATTAGGGAGGTAGGCTCGGGGAGAGAAACCGCTTTGTGAAAGAAGATATTTTATTGAAAATTTTGACATCGGCACGGAAATGTCAAAGAAAAAATAAGCGAATTCGTGTCGGCACACCATTGCCATGGTGGTTAATGAAAAAGCACGGAAGACTTTTCGAAGCATCTACGAGTAAATGTAAAACTATCCTGCATCACATGAACCGAAGCTTCAGTCTCGATGATATCCTTAAAAGTATTATATCATACGCATCAGATGGCGCTAAGAATAAGTTATTTAGAGGCTGTAAACTGATGACTGAATAGTCTGGAACAGATCAAGAAGGGAGCGAATAAATTTTTCTATTATAATGAAATGAATGTTCTCTTCTGTATTCCGCATGATCAATCAGGGAAGAAGGTCTGTTCGGTAGCGAGCAGAACTTTTCGGGGGACAATCCGTTCTGACGGCACGCGATGATCCTCCGTTCTCCGGACCGATCATTGTGTCAGATCTGGATCATCAAATAAACCCACAAATCACAGCGAATCCATGACTTTCCCAAGAACGCGAGTCTCGAGCAAACCTCTCACGATCTGCGATGGCGATTTCGAGCCAAAGTGTTTGTATTCGAAGAGTTCAAACATCGCACCACTCGATCACTGTGTTATTGTTTCCTTCGATCGAAGATTGATAGTCAGCGTGTGTGAGCGTTAGAAGTCAGTCTCTGGAAGCGTGAATGAGATCGGAGAGCGAGCAGACAAGGGTGGAATAAACTGGTCGCAGTGATTGACAACATGACCGAGGGATCTAGTCAGGGGAAGGCAGGACTGCCATTCTCGAATGTCTTGTGCGGGTCTACAATTTCCTTCGTCTAAGAGGTAAGCTTTATTCTTCTGATCAGATCGTTCCCCATTGTCGTCTCCGGAAGAGCTCCGGAATTTCCCCAAGAAGCCCGCGAAAAGTTTTCGAGTACATATCAGGTTGCCCCATATTTGCCTGGGCTTCGCCTCACGTTGCAGACTGGAATCTACTGTTCGAGGCGAAGACCTTTTCTAATTCCTCGGATTTCAAGCCTGGGTCCGAGCGCGGAGCGAATAAAGACGGTCCCTGTACTTCAAAGAAGTCAATGGAGCGATCCATCAGGCTCAACTATGAGCCACCTCTTATTGACGGTTTCTACGGAGCGAAATTTTCTTGCCGGAAAACAGTGCGTCATGATGCCCTCATGACCTCATGAATCATCACGAGCTCGTGAGTACCCGAGGGAGGATCCAAGCATCGACTGATGATATTATTATCGACTGATGTATATTCTTCAGCTATTCATCTGTAGCGAATGACGCTTAACTCAGACCTTCGCGCTAGAAAGAAATATGCGAAGAGCAAATACTTGCATCACACCACACCGACGCATTCCCGCGCACACTGAGTCAGGGTTGGTTCGCTTATCTTCTCGCATCATGATACAGCAGCAAGATCACTCGATCACATGCGGCACGACAGCTTCCGCATTGCGTGAAGCATGACTTCGTCGCTCTCGTCGCGTCGTCGGTCCGATATCGAGAGCACGCACGGCTCGGCTTGAAAACGCTCCTCGCAGGAGCACGCCGATGATCGCAGAGAGTCGCGGGGAGGAATTGCTGAATATTTTCCAACAGAACATTTCTGGCCAGACTTCACAGACTCTTCTGGCTCCCGCTCCCTTTTCTGTACTTTTTTTGCGAAATTCGAAAGAGTTACGGAGCGTGCTGGAGTAAACTTCGACGGAGAAACAACATCGACATTTCAAGCGTGATGGAAATTCGTATCATCAACAGCTAAGTATTTCATGGATATGTACGACGCCATGCGTTGGACGTGTCTACGGTGCGTGTGTGTTTTGTCAAGTCGCTGTCTGACAGTGGAGCCCCGAGACCTTGGGGAACATCTAACGACACGGAGATGGAGATGTTAGTTAGATTTAAAACACCGTGACGCGTGGTCCGAGGGACTTCAGGACTGCCCCAACGGATCGTGAATAGTTCTGCCGTAAACCGCTCACCCACCCAGTGCGCCAGTGGCCATCCACGGAGGAAGGGAGAGAGGCAACATTGTGAGCCCTTTCTCGTTTTCGTGCGGTCACTTGACGTGAATCGAGCGGGCTTCATTGGAACTTAGTGAAGTGTCGGTGAAGTTCATCGCAGTGACTTGTCATGTGTTTAATTGTGTAGACGTTTCTCGAAGACCGAATTTCTCCATTATGTTTCGGATAAGCATTCTGCTCCTTGTTCTCGGTGTCGTCCTTCAAGGTGAGCTCCTCAGCAAGAACCCGGAAATTAGATTCAACTCCTTCGTTTTAATCCGTCCATCTTTGAATTTCGTTCCCAATTCGGTATCAACTGATTCGGCGTTCCTCAGTCCGGCGGTTCAGTGAAGCTCGCTTGCACAAAAATCATCTCCCGCCAACAACTCTCATGGTGTGTGGATTGGCTCGCGAGCTTCGCTGAACATCGTTGATTCATTCTCCACGGTTGAAATCTTCTCGGGAATCTTTTGTTGAGAACACGAATCGGATTCGTTCCCTTTGAGTTTTTGACAGAATCGGAATTCTCTCGGAGCAGAAAATGATTCCATCAAATGAAGTCATCCAACTCATAATCAATTTTACCCTTTTCAAGCTTGCACTGAAGTGCAAAACTGTCCTAAAGGATCAACTGGACCATGCCGTAAGAAGAGCTTTGCTTTGACGGGGTAGAATAGTTCGCGGGACCTTTTTCGGGAAGAAATCCGCGACTTGAAGTCTTGTCTTCGGTCGCAGCTTGTCTTCGGAATCGTTTGCATGATTTCCAGCTCTTCCGCCGTCGCGGGCAAATTGAAATTTCAAAGCCAGATCGACCGCGAAACTGCTGCTGACTGTCGACGAAAAATTCGATGCGGGAAATCGAGACCAGAAAATTCAGTGACGAAAGTGTACATATCCGTATTAAGCATAGCAAAAAATTTAATATTCGAAGTTCTCACGCAGCGCTCAGGGAACACTGACGGCTGGAGCGAGCAGTGGCGCCATGTTCTGTCTGCCGGCTTAACGATTTTTCTGTTCCGTCTGTTTATCAAATAAACTTCGTCATCTTGAAGGACTCGTCCTTGTTCAGCCTCGCGGTGGCACCGCATGCTCGCCGTCAAATATCGTTACTTTGGACGGTTCTTGAGAAAATGGCCAATCTTGCCAGCTCGATGTCTTATCAACAATGGACATTGTGCGTTGATTGAGACAAGAATGGATACCTAAACGAAGAGTCCTGATAGTCATCTCCGATGAAGTCGAAGAACCTGTGAGACTTTTGATCGTCCAGGTTCCGGAACTTCCCTCTCCTGGGAGGGAGTGCGAATGGAAACGAAGTCGTGCGCGGGACTAGCTTGAGGTTGAGATCCTCCGCAGAAGTCAAACTCGCTCCGGAACGTACCGGAGAGATTTCTTCAGAACGTCACGCCAGGAGTCGCCCTTTGAGCTGCACCTCGAATCGCTCAGCGACGTTCGTATAGCTCCGGGGAGGTACGCGGAAGCGGTGAGCGTGACGAGCGAGCACGATGAAAACGTGACGTGGAATTTGGAGCGTTCGCACCTGCGGTCAACCTCTGGTCATTCGTTTCCTGCGTTCGTTTTTGTTCACGATCACAAAGCTCTCGCGACGTCGGTTTTGATCGACTTACCTATGATTCGCGCATAGTCTCTCAATCCAGAGTGAAAAGTCGAAGAAGCAGGAGAGAGCTGGAAGACCTCGATTCGCTTGATTCTCCGTGCTCGCAGCCGGCTTTCGCCACTTTTTCCCCAGCCTAAGAATTTGACTGCTCGGCGACATGAAAGAAACGGGGGAAGACTGACCCTGGGTCGAGTCAGCGATTCCCAATAGCTGACCCCGGTCGACTCAGAGCTCGAAAGAAACATCGATCTCCGAGAAACATTCCAAGCTCGCGAGAGCGGTATTTTCGTCGTTAGAGTCTCCGGTGTTACGAAGCGTTCAACACCATGCCCGAGACCTATCCGATCGATGTACAGAATAGGGATCAAGTGCTGTCATATGAGCTCGAGAAGAATTCTACGGCATTCACAGCCTTGAGGTCCTAGTCGATTGTAGCACGCGTGTCCGACATTCGCCCGCCGATTTCTTTTTGTTCCGATCAATCCAAGGCTTCGGGTAATAATAAAGTTGATAAGCTTATTTTGACAGCGCGACGGACCAGAAGCCAGAGAAGTCGTTCTGCCATTTTTTATGTCACTACCGTAGCCGGCGTAATGACCGTTGTCACTTTGATTCTGGCGCAGCAAGGAACTCTCATTCAAGTGACACCTTGTCGTCAGTGATGGGTCCTCGCTTCTCGCTGAGACGACGCACACGACACTCCAAAGTCGCAGGGAACACTGTAGGGATTAAACAATTATTCGCAATCGTGTGAGGGCACCGTGACCCCTGCGAAAGTTCATAGAAGGAATGTCATTCCAGATTACGGCCCGTGTCGCGAGCAGGGGGCACCTTTACAAACATAAGATGGGGATGGGGAGATATCGAATGCGGGAGATTGATAATAGACGCCTGGAGCAAGAACGGGATCCTGAGCCCAGCGTGGATAATTTCGTCGGATATCTCAAGCTTCTGGCGGACCGATAAGGTACACCGACTTGATTATTATCAAGTGTACTTCTATAAATCACGCGAAACCGAACGAAATGATACGTTTCGTTTTATCGTCCCCCCTCCTCGCTTCGATTATTATGAGGAGAAACGACATTCCTCGAATTCTGAGGGCGAGGTCGTCGCCGCCGCATCCGAACGGAAATCGGGGCATGTGCATCGGGGCCGCTGAATGAATCTTTGGAGACAAGAAGAGGGTTCCTCATAATTTACCATGGCGGCAGGGAGGAACAGCGGCAATGATCCGGAGAAGATGCTGGATGCCGTGTTCTATTCATTTATTCATTCTCTGTGATGATTCTAGTCGGATGTTCTTAATGTGGGACTGCAACCTCTATGATGTACCAACGCTGGCAATGCTATTAAAAAAGTATCATTCGCTCACAATGCTTTCCACAGAATATTATATGCGTGTAGCCGAAGCGTAGTGTGGCATCGAGCATCGACGAGGCATCTAGTGAAACAATGTTCTTGCTCCACCGGAACGCCAACCACAAACTAATGAACGACGGACTGTAACATCAGAGTGTGGCCATTTCAAAGAAGTCTTCACGGAGACGGAGCGAATGTGGATGAGCAAAAGTTTCCACTGTTGGACAGATTCACGCACAAGTGAGCGGGAGAGTCAATTGGCTTGAGAAATCATTGGGAAGGAGCACGCTTATGAAACAATGTCTTCAAACCAGTGACAATTGTCGGCCATGTGCTGATCTGCTGTTGCGAATTATCCGAAGTCACACGCACAACTGCCGTTGACTCACTGCTTGACTGACTGACCGACTCACTGACTGATCATCGCGCACTTCAGCGTTAAGCCTCGTGCTGCGCAGCTTTTGAGAACATCTGTTTGAAAAGCTTGCTGAAACACGAAGCTGGATTTCTGAACCGAAACTGTGCGACGTCGGAACCGGGGAGTCCCAAGTTTCACGGTTCGGAACTGGGAGACTCGCTTGCATCAAGGAGCTCGGGAGTCGCATTGCGTGACTGAGGCTGCTCCACCTTCCCTCCAAATGACATCTCCCGCACAAATGACACTCTTCCGAAACATTCAAAAATTACTCGAACTATAATTAGCGAAATGAAAAAAGCGGCGGGGTGGTCAAGAACGTCCCCAAGGGCATGACGTGAATAATGATCGAGACCCAAGCTCTCGCAGATCGGGAAGAACGTTTGAGGGACTCCGGAGAGCGGATGTCGGACTGCTAGAGGGAAGTGAAAAACTGATTTGCTAAGAATCTGGATCCCCACGAATCGGTCGTATCGGTCTGACCATGAAATTCATCAATCTACTCGAGCGGCATTCCAGATGTGAACATCCAATCTTGAACATTTATCGCTTGGCCTTTGATTACGCGAAGGCGACTGAGTTCGGTATTCACATGAAAATCGATTCGATTCCTCTCCCGGGAATTCTAAATGAGCAGAAGGACCATATTGATGAGGACAATGAGTAATTATTGGTCTTTTTTCCATTCGGCACTTGAAACGGAGTCCACTCGATTGCAGCGGACTCGAGTTCTGCTGAGCTCTGCGGGGATCTCATACCAGACCAGGGCATGCCTCCACATCGCTCCCTCGACGACCATCCATTGACCGGCGGAGGAGCGGTTTGAGCCGTCCGCTCCAATCATGGATTCATGTGGAGGAATCCCCGCGATTCCGATCGAGTCGGCTCCGACCTGTAGAACCTTGTACGCTATCAAGAACTGCATCTGCCGCATTCCTCTTTTCTCATCCTCATTGTCTGACGATATTGATGGGGAATTCTCGAAGTGCTTATCTCTTATGAATCGGTTTCTCTGGAATTAGCATGGTTTTTCGGCCATTGTCTATTGGATTCATCAGATGGCGATGTAGCCGAATACTTCCGATACAGCCCTTGCGGCAATCGCCGTTCTCTCACTCGGGAGAGATGGGCTCGAAGCATACTTTTTTACCGTATAAATCAGGTGCAAACTCGGAGTTCTCCTCCCGCACGATGATCTATGCCCATTCCGAATATCGAGCCTCTTATTCAAAATGCTCCCTAATTGCTGGACCTGTGGGGTCGGGGGATCCGCTTTCATGACGGAAATGAAAGAGCCAGCTCCGGAGCCGTCTGGATCCCTGCCTATGGGTTATTCTAGTTTACGAAATTCCTGTCACGATAAGGACTCTGGATAACATTCAAACAAACCGTAATTTATGCAAATTTCGGCGCTGTCTACGAGAAGACAGATGTTTATCTGAAGACGTAAGATTTGTGACTGCATTGTCGTGGACGTGTTGCTTTCCCTGAGCACCTGGAGAGTTCCAGATGAACATATCCACAAACCTGTCCGGGAGCTCCTACGAGAGAGATAATTCTGACGCTCTTAAGCCGAAATTTCTCGGAGAAGGAAGGATTTCGGCTGAGCCAGTATCTTCGATGGATGAGAAAGGATAAGGAATCTGCAAACGACTGAACATTTCGTCTTATTCTCGGGAACGCACCGCGAGGCTGCGCCACCCGCGAAGACCGTCAGAGTTGGTACCTGAGAGCTCCTTTTTATTCATCCGGTAGTTTATTTGCCTGGACGTAACGCACAAAACGTTCGTGAGCGATGCGAGTAGCGACTCTGGGGTTGTAAAACATTTTA